TGTGGCAGGCGCAGGGGTGTTCTCCACCCTGCCAAAAGTGAGCAAAACGGTTTTTGGCATTTCCAAAAACGATGGCGGGCGTGGGGCATTTGAAGGATCTGCAAAGATACATATCGCGTGGCAGACGCAGTACAAGAGTCATGTTCATCAGAGATGTTAGGAAGTTAGGGCACTGATTTCCTGAGACGGGTTGCATTTTGGAGCATCAGATCGTCAGGTTTGCGAAGATGACTTTGTGTGACAGGTGCAGCAGTTCGTGTGACCTGGCATCAATTTTTCGTGGCAGGCGCAGTACTTTAGACAGGTGGAGTGGAAGAATTGCAAAACGCATTGGTACGAGGCCGTCAGGTCGGCACTCCACTTTCCATTTTTGAAGGACGTTTTGCAGAATTGCTTCGTTTTTGATGTTGTCAACCTGAAAAATTGAGAAGTCTCGCAGAATAGCGGCGTTTTTGATGTTGTCAAGTTCAAAAGCTGAGGAAGTCTTGCAGAATTGCTGCGTTTTTGATGTTGTCAAGTTCAAAAATTGAGGACGTCTCGCAGAATAGCTTCATTTTCAGACTTGCAGATAGATAGATAGACAGATAGATAAACAGAAAGACAAATCAATAAACAAATATATAGATAGACAGATAGATAGGCAACTGCAACTGCAATACACCACACTACAACTACAACTCCAAGTAAAACTGCACTACCACTACAACTACAAATTTAACTACACTTCGACTACACAACTACAAGAACTACAGCTACAACCACAACTACAAATTCAACTACACTACCACTACAACTACAGCCTCAACTAAAATTACTACAACTCCACATACAAATGCCACTACCAGTACAACTACAACTACAACTGCAACAACTAATACAACTACACTACGACTGCAACTGCAACTGCACCTACAGCTGCAACTACAACTACAACTTCAGCTCCACTACAACTACACTTCAACTACAAGTTTAACTTCAACTTCAGCTACACTACCACAACGACAATTACCACGACACTACGCTACAACTACAACTACAACTGCAACTACAACTACAACAACTACAGCGACAACTCCTACAACTATTGCAAGTACTACAAGTACTACAATTAAGGCAATTACAACTTCAACTACGCTTCAGCTACACTACAACTACAACTACAGCTACAAACCACAACTACAACTACAACACTACAACTTCAACAACCTCAACGACCTCAACGCCACAACAACTACAACTACAACTATTGCACTACACCACACTACATCCAGGAGTTGTGAGTGAGGTGACCACTGCAACCATTGCAACCACTCCAAAAAGCACAGTTCCAACCACCTTTCGGTCCATCAGTGGATTCGCTCTGCCATCCATGCATCACAGCAACTCACCTCTCCTATAGTGTCCTATCCGTGAAACTTCCGCCACCGCCTTGTGCGGTACTAACCTCGATCTGTCTTGGATAAGAAGCTACATATATTGAGGGATTCATCCCAATTTTTGCTTGGCCTAAATTCACCTCATGGAGCAACCATTGGAAAGCTCCAGCGACTCCAGGCCCATTGGTTTGCAGCTGGGTCGCCATCGCCAAGTCGCCAGCTCTGATCCTTCGGTGATGGCGACGGGAAGTTCGGCCGTTCTTCGCCACCTCCTGTGCCATGGTCACCATGAACTTTGCTTCCTGGAATCGCGGTCACGCAAGGCCATTCACAAAACGAAGCACGCCAGCAGAGCAAGCTGCGGAGTTCTGCACTGTGCGGCAGCTGTCGTGATTCATCTTCTGGTGGCTGGAAACCCATCCCAAAAATACGTTGGTCATCTCAACTAATCATCCCTTTTGTATATCCTTTTGTATGTTGGAAAAGTAATGTTTGAACCCCCTAAACAAATCCTTATTTCTCGATGGCTAACTTTATCCTCCATTCACGGGTAAACGATGCAGACACAACATGTCGTAGTATGCTAGTAATATGCCTAAATGGATTAAATGCAATCTTTAATCCGATGGTTACAAAATGGCAAAACCCTGGAAACAATATATAGGATGTGGAAGTGAATCTAGCTGAGACCGCGTTTGTAGCATTCATCATTGTTTTGGCGATGGTCCGTTGTAAATGTCCACTTTTCGTTCAGCGTTCCCCATGGGCCGAGAAAGGGATGATTTCCCCAGGGAGCCAGAGTCAACCCATTCCAGTTCTGGCCCGAAATACCAGTTATAAGATGCTATAAGTACTAACAAGTCACCATATTTATAGAATATAAAACCCCATAGAAATAAACAACCATTTATAGTTGGTAACCGGCCATAGCTGTATCATCTATCAGTAGTTCAACCATGTCAAATCCAATTTCTTCCTAATTAAATATGCTATTTAAAAAAGTGGCCGGTTCCTCACTAATCATTAATGATTGTCTGGTTATATCCCATAAGTTGTTTACTCTTTTGTTTGCCTTTGTTTTTTCCGTGGATTGGTTTAGCGGAAATCTTGCAAGAAACCATGGCTTGCCCACCGATTCCGTCTTTTTGGGGCTGAAACCTATATGTGCGGATGTCAAAACCCCTTGTTCACGAAGAGGACATCAACATAATCCGGAAAGGTCCCATCGCAAACCAACAGTTTCGTAACAATTTTACCATCGTTTACCATGTTGATTTACGGCGGGTATCGCTAAGGCTGAACGTAGCAGAAGTAGATATGATATTGCACCTGTAGCACTAGTCATACTCGTAGTACTAACTAGTAGCATCAATAATACCAAGGTATTATGGGGAGTACTAGAAGTGCTAGCAACGCTAGTATTAGAAAAAGTAATGCTAAAATATTGGGAGTACTTGAAGTATTATAGCAAGGCTAGTAACACAATCGTGGCGATAGCTGCAAGAATTCTAATAATAGTTAATAGCAGTAGCAGCAGCAGCAGCAGCAGGAGGAGAGGAGGAGTGGTAGTGGTAGTGGTAGTGGTAGTGGTAGTGGTAGTGGTAGTGGTAGTGGTAGTGGTAGTGGTAGTGGTAGTGGTAGTGGTAGTGGTAGTAGTAGTAGTAGTAGAACCAGTAGTAACAGTAGTAACAGTAGTAACAGTAGTAACAGTAGTAGCAGTAGTAGCAGTAGTAACAGTAGTAACAGTAGTAACAGTAGTAACAGTAGTAACAGTAGTAACAGTAGTAACAGTAGTAACGGTAGAAACAGTAGTAACAGTAGTAACAGTAGTAACAGTAGTAAAAGTAGTAAAAGTAGTAGCAGTAGTAGTAGTCGAAGAAGAAGTAGTAATAGTAAAAGCAATAAAGGTAGTAGAAGTAGTAGTAGAAGCAGCAGCAGCAGCAGTAGTAGTAGTGGTAGTAGTAGTAGTAGTAGTAAGAGGAGTAGTAGTGGTAGTAGTGGTGGTCTTGGTGAGGGTAGTAGTAATGGTAGTAGCAGTAGCAGTAGTAGTGGTAGTAGCAGTAGTAGTAGTAGTAGAAATAGTAGAAGTAGCAGAAGATAGCAGAAGTAGTACAAACAGTAGAAGCAGTAGAAGCAGTAGACAGTAGCAGATAGTAGTAGGAGTAGTAAATAATAGTAGAAATAGTAGTACGTAGAAAAAGTAGTAGAAATAGTAGTAGAAGCAGTAGTAGAAATACAGCTTGAGTATTGTACAAGAATTCACTGTATAAGAATTTGAGGGGCTCGAATCCAAGGCGGGCTACATATTTTCAGGTATACCAAACACATAATACTTTAAGAATTTGAGGGACCCTGGAGTAGGATTGCCAAATTCGTAAATTACTGCTTCTACGTGAGGTTTGCAATTCCCTTTAGCGGTTCATTTTTTTGGCGTGACCCCTTATATTGTCTTACGGGATGAAATTGGGCTTTGCAGAAAAGCAATTTTTTAGGCTCCGAAAAATTGTTTTTTCGCGCATGTTTGGACTGCTTCCATTCCACCCAAAATCCATTTGTGGGTAGGCCGGGGGACCTGAAACATTGTTTTCCTCTATAGCTTGAAGAAAACGGAGGCTTTGCAGAAAATCAGTTTTTCAAGCTCCGATTTTATTTTTTTCGCGCATGCTTGGACTGCTCACAGTCGGACCTGGAACATTGTTTACCCAATACCTCGGCGAAAAGCGCCGCATCGGGAATCGAGCCCGTGACCCCGACAGCTTAGCCCAATGCGCTGCCGACTGAGCTGGGCAGTCATTCCCAAAAATAAGGGAGTCAACAACAACAATAGCTAGAATAGCCAAGAAAGTTAGCCACAAACAGGGCTCTGCAGAAAAACAATTTTTCAAGCACTAAAAAAATGGAACATTTTTTACCCAATACCTCGGCGAAAAGCGCCGCATCGGGAATCGAGCCCGTGACCCCGACAGCTTAGCCCAATGCGCTGCCGACTGAGCTGGGCAGTCATTCCCAAAAATAAGGGAGTCAACAACAACAATAGCTAGAATAGCCAAGAAAGTTAGCCACAAACAGGGCTCTGCAGAAAAACAATTTTTCAAGCACTAAAAAAATGTTTTTTTTTTTTTTTTTCCGCGCTATTCTTTGGAGCTCAAACAAGCCCGGCTTTGCAGGAAAACAACTTTTCAGGCTCTAAAAAAATGTTTTTCCAACACTGCTCTTTTGAAACTCAGAGAAGCTCGGCTTTTGAAAAAAAACAATTTTTCAGGCTCCATTTTTTTGCGCACTAACATTATAAAATTTATATAAGCATGGCTTTGCAAAAAAAAACAGGCTTTAAAAAATTGATTTTTCCTCACTCTCTCATGAAACTCAGAGAAGCTCGGCTTTGCAAACAAACAATTTTTCAGGCTCCAAAAAAATGTTTTTTGCGCACTAATCTTATAAAATTCATACAAGCATGGAATTGCAAAAAACAATTTTTCAGGCTCTAAAAAAATGTTTTTTTCCGTACTGCTCTCATGAAACTCAGACAAGCCTGGCTTTGCAAAAATCAAATTTTCAGGCTCTAAAAATTCATTTTTTCGCATGCCTCTTGTCAAATCTGCCAACTCCACCTTGTTACCTCCTTTAAGCTTGCTCCAACTTGTGCAGATGCATGCAATACATAACTAAGAATGCCCTAAGAATTTGAAGGACCATTTCCTTGACACGCAAACCTGCACACTGCACTGCACTCAAACGTGATGCCAAGGTTGCAATCTTCGACCTCAGCCGCTTGGCTCTGTGCACAGCAACAAACAAGCCGATAGCACAACAGCTGTACCTCAAACGGACAAGCCTGCTTCTTCCGAACAGAAACTTCAGCTCACACCGACCCCGATTTCTTAGAGTATCTCACCAAGGCACGCATCCGTCCGACGAGATTTCTGCGATCCAGACTCTCCTCGAAGTTTCAGGAGCCGATCAACAAGAGATAAGTCAACGGCTTGCAACTGCTCCATCTGTCGGCAGCGTTTTGCCCGCAAATCCTGGTCCCCTTTCTTCCGGGCTTCGAACTCGACCCCTGCTAGGACATGCACCGTAGTGAACACTTCCTTCAGCTTTGTGACCCTCGGCCTGTTGTGGTGTAAATTTGCCTGCATTTAAAAATAAGAATTTGAGGGACCCTGGACCTCAAGCTTTCGGATTCTTAACCAGCGCTCAGGCTCGAATAGAAACAGTAGAAATAGTGGTAGAAGCAGAAGTAGAAGCAGAACTAGAAGACGTAGCAGTATAAGTGCAAGTAGTTGGGGATCCTGTGCTTTTGGAGAATTGGGGTATCGCTTGGGTATCGCTAAGGTATCGCTAAAATCGATGCGTTTTTGTTGCAGGATCAGGCGGGTGCATTACAATTTGCTTGTGAAACTGTTCCTTCCTTTTCCTCTCATTTTCCTTTCATGTTCCTTTCCTTTTCCTTTCCTTTTCCTTTCATTTTCCTTTCCTTTTCCTTTCATTTTCCTTTCATGTTCCTTTCATATTCCTTTCCTTTTCCTTTCCTTTTCCTTTCCTTTTCCTTTCCTTCTCCTTTCCTTTTCCTTTCCTTTTCCTTTCCTTTGTCTTTCCTTTTCCTTTCTTGTCCTTTTTGTTACGGTTTTCTTTCCGTTTCCATTTCCTTTTCTCTTTTCCTGCCCTTTGCCTTTCCTGTTTCTGTCCTTTCCTGTTCCTTTCCCTGTCCTTGTCTTTCCTTTCGTTTTTCTTTCGTGTTTCTTTCCGTTTCCTTTTCCTGTCCTTTTCCTTTCCTTTTTCTTTCCTGTTCCTTTTCTTTTCCTTCCATGTTGTTTCCTTCTTTTCCCTTCCTCTTCCTTTCCCTCTCTTTCAACCCTGAGCCCAAGTCTATCATCGATGCGAGCATTTGACGAAATCAACACTCATGAAATTTAAATATCATTATGTTACTTATTGAATTCAAAAAGGGGTATCGCTATTTGGAAAGGTCCCATCGCTAACCTCGTTTTTTGCATTTCTGAAAACGAATGTCCAGCCAATACATATATATATATATATATCAGTTTCCGCGAGTTTTGATTGCTCATATAGCAATCATCCATCAGCAAACTTCAATCCCATGCGCTGCTATCTGTCAAAGCGATTTGGTAACATGATACCCTCTGGTAAGCATACAACAAACTTTGGAAATCACCATATTTCATAAGTAAATCAGCGACATACATTGCAATTGTTCAAAGCTATTTTGACATAACCAGTGGGTATCAGTGGTGAAATCCATGCTGTTGCTGCTTATCAAAAAAGAAATCTGTTGATGGCCCTGCGATTCCCATGAATATATATATATATATATTGGTTGGGGTGATGACAGTCCCAACTGAATGGAAAATATTCCAAATGTTCCTCACCACCAACCAGTATATCTATGTACATAGTATATCATTCATCACTATCCATCATTTGTTGGACTTCAACCTCCATATTTTGCGCACAAGAAAACACAACTACTTTGAGGCGTTGCTGTTCTGTTCCATATTGGGGTTTCCATAAATGGTGGGTACCCCGAAATGGATGATTTATTTCATGGAAAATCCCATCTATAAATGGATGATTTGGGGGCCCCCCCATATAGATGTAGATGATATCTAGATAATATAGTTAATGTCACCTAGAGATGAAATATTATGGTGCTTAATGGTGTCTAATCAGTGCCAATCTTTGATACCCTGCAAAAAAAATATAGCTGGTGAGTAGATAATCCCATTGATATCAAAAGACTAAAGGATTATAGTTCCTACTACCATCTGGTAAACTAACATAACTATGGAAAATCACCATTTTTAATGGGTAAACCCACTATAAATGGCCATTTTCAATAGCAAACTGTTAGTAACACCGTGCTTTTCTAGGTTTCACCGTGCTTCGCCTTCTCTTTCATCCGGGAAGCCACCAGGTTCTGCGCCATGTAATCCTCAGCCGATAGTCAAACTGGTCATCCCAGCGTGGTATTTTTCGATGGATTCATGGTGGGATGACCAGCAAACATGAGGATTTACCCGGCCTGGTAAACGTTTACATAGCTAAGTCATTCTGGCTGGTGGTTTCAAACATGAGGATTTACATTTTCAATGGGTAAACTATGGAAAATCATTGGGTAATTCAACTATGGCCATGTTCAATAGCAAACTGTCAGTTTACCAGAGGATTTATACCACAAGTCATTCATGTAATCCTTCTTTAAAAACATGTAATTAATTGGTTTTTGAATTAGATCTTAACCTCTCCTATAAATGGATGACCAGCAAGTGCACCATCCAACTTTTGGCCAGTCATAGCTTTGAGGTCTTGGTAACTTCTAGCGTTTGTTATTTTAAGATAAAACAAGGTGGGGACCCCTAATTAATAGCTAAAGTTCAGATATAATTCATTTCACTAGGCTTTATAAGGTAATTATTCACCATGATCTATAGTTACATCAAATTATAATTACGGGGAACTATAACTACATGGACTACAATATATGTGAACAATATATGTGAACTACAACTACTACTATTATACCCATTAACTATTATGGAACTATAATTACTTGGAACTATAACTATACATGTTATAATAGTTACATCTATAGCTACATTTAGTTAAAATTACTGGGAACCATACATGGACTACATATTTACTGGGCAATTAGTAGATGGGATTATAAACCAATGTTGGTTATAATTACTGGGTATTACTAATTACTACTATTATACCAAAATTACTAGTTTGTTGGCTATGATTACTGGGAACTATAACTATAGTATTACCCATAATAGTAATTATCCAATTTGACTATAACTATTACGAGTTTGTTGCTTAATTATACCCATAATTACGGGGAACTCTAACTATAGTCAATGGTGATTATAAGCCAACATACCTCGCCGGGGCCCCACTTGTGGCCCAAGACTTGACCAGAAAATTTTGACCGAAATGTTCCACTGGCCACTAAGACACGCGCAAGTGTCAAGTGGAGTTTGCAATGGATGAATGAACAAATGAATGAATGACTCAATGAATGAATGACTGAATGAATGAATAAATAAATGAATGAATGAATGTAGCGATCAATCAAAATCAATCAAACAATATCAAACATCTCTATCGTTGTGACAGTGTTTTTTCCCTGCAAGGCAAGTTGACGAGTCTTAGGTTGCCAGGATTGATATGAAGTGCCCCCACAATACGAGCAAAAAATGCGAAGAAATGGATGGTTTCCTGTTGCACATCATCAACAAGTCTGTGGTTTGCACCCATGCACAATGGCAAGCCAATAGGCCATAGACCCTTCTAACCAGGGGGGAACGAAACTATAGGTGAATTCATGCAAGTCACACAACAGCTTGGTGCTCCAATAGTTACAGGCACGCTGATATGGCCACATCAATTCAACGGACATTTGGAAAATGTTCCCTCTGGTAAACGTTAATATAACTATGGAAAATTACCATGCCATTAACGGGTAAATCAACGAACTAAATAGCAATTTTCAATAGCAACCTCTGGTAATGAATGACTAACAGTTCGCTATTGAAAATGGCCCATAGAAATAGCTGATTTACTCATTGATAGCATAGTGATTTTCCATAGTTTACCCATGAAAAATTGTGATTTTAAATAGTGTACCCATGAACAATGGTGATTTTCCATAGTTTACCCATGAAAAATTGTGATTTTAAATAGTGTACCCATGAACAATGGTGATTTTCCATAGTTTACGCACGAAAAATTGTGATTTTAAATAGTGTCCCCATGAAAAATCGTGATTTTCGATAGTTTACCCACGAAAAAATGTGATTTTAAATAGTGTGCCCATGAACAATGGTGATTTTCGATAGTTTACCAATGAAAAATTGTGATTTTAAATAGTTTACCCACGAAAAATTGTGATTTTAAATAGTGTACCCATGAAAAATTGTGATTTTGCATAGTGTACCCATGAAAAATTGTGATTTTGCATAGTTTAACCATGAAAAATGGTGATTTTCCATAGTTTACCAATGAAAAATTGTGATTTTAAATAGTGTACCCATGAAAAATTGTGATTTTGCATAGTTTACCCATGAAAAATTGTGGTTTTCCATAGCAAACTGTAAAGTTTGAAGAATCCCATTCTCAAACCAGCCATGTTCAGCACGATGATCCCCAACCATCCACATCCACTGGGCGCACCAACGACTGGCTCTTGCAAAGGCGCGCCGTGACGATTGGGCATTGGAAAGGGCCTCGTGGATTCCCAGCAGAGCCTCTGGTTTTACCATGCTGACCGGAAAATCATGGAAATGCTACGCGATCTGGATCTTTACATATATATATATATATAAGTTACGATAGAATTTGCATTTTAATCTATTTTAGATCAATCCAGTCATGGGTCTTGGATCTTGTCATGGGTCTGGATGAATTCATCTCAATACTTAAGGCCATGAAACAATATGGTTTTTGAGCAATTTTTAAGCTGATTTCCTGCTATGCAATCTTGTATTATAACAAATATTTATATATACATATTATAATACAAAATATTCTATAATCTATAATATATATATATAATATAAAATATATCTTCAATTAAATATATATATATATTTAATAATATACAAAATATTACCCGCAGGCCCCGTGTGTTGCCCAAGCCCAGAATAGCGTAAATTACAAGGATTGTTTGTTCACACTAAAATTATCATATAAATTCTCCCACCCCCGTGAAACTTCTACATTCATTGAAGATTCTTCAATAAGGGTTTAATTCTCCCACCACCCTTAAACTCTTACATTCGTTGAAGATCTTCAAAAAGGGTGAAATTTCCCACCCCCGTTGAACTCTTCCATTCATTGAAGATCCTCAATAAGGGTTTAATTCTCCCACCCTGGTTAGACTCTTCCATTCATTGAAGATCCTCAATAAGGGTTTAATTCTCCCACCCCCGCTAAACTTCTACATTCATTGAAGATCTTCAATAAGGGTTTAATTCTCCCACCCCCGTTAAACTCTTACATTCACTGAAGATCTTCAATAAGGGTTTAATTCTCCCACCCCCGTTAAACTTCTACATTCATTGAAGATTCTTCAATAAGGGTTTAATTCTCCCACCCCCGTTAAACTCTTACATTCATTGAAAATTCTTCAATAAGGGTTTAATTCTCCCACCCCAGTTAGACTTCTACATTCATTGAACGTCTCTGTAAACTTCCGGGCAACACACAGGGCCTGGCACCAATATTATATATATAATTTTTAATATATATATATAGATAGATATTTAATTTAATATATATATAAATATACATTTTAAAAAATATATATATATATATTATGTGCCAAATGCCACTGGACCCACAAGTGCTGTGGGCTTTCCGATGATCAACCCATCCTTTTTTTGGGGGAAAAAACGGTACTACCGCTCAACGCGCTTTGTATATCCACCAGCTCACCATATCTGGCTGGTGGCTTTAACCATCTTGAAAAATATTAGTCAATGGGAAGGATTATCACAGATATTATGGGAAATAAAAAATGTTTGAAACCACCAACCAGATATATTGCATCCAATTTGTTCAAATTACCAACTTTACCAGGACTGTGAGTATAGCAAATCCATTGTGCATCGACAAACATCTGTCCATCATGAGAATTCTCCAAATTGTCTACTGTACTCATCCATTATTTACCCAAGTCACCTACATTTAAATCCGATAGCCTGTCGAAAACATCCGGAACCCATCATACCCATGAATTGTCTGTCTGATTGAATTCTCAAATTCCCATCTTCACAAATGGTTCATGTATGTTCATTTTATCATTCATTAGTTGTCATTCGCTTCTAAGAAATTGACTAAATTGACGATCGTTGTCACTAAAAAACCGTTCATGGACCACAAATGACATAGAAATGAACACCGGGAATGGTGGCCACGGTCACCCACGGGTCATCCACGGTCATCTCCGAAAAAAGCCGCTAAGGTCAAGGCTTACCCTTCAGCTCCGGATACTGTCCAGCATAAGGATTGCTGCCATCCGAACACCTCTGATTCAGTAAATGGGATCAGCAATGGGATTAAGCACTATTGAAAAGTCCAGGAATTTTAAGATCTCGAGAAGTATACATAAGGGTGCAACTTGAAAACATCAACTGGAACGACTTGTGAAGTATTTTCTATCAAAACATTGGGGCTTTCCTGGGTTATATGTCTGGCTTATGTAGTCCTTTATTTAGCCATGACCACTCTCAGACACAATTCCAAAGAAATACTGGTCAGTGAATGTTGTCAGTTGTAGCTAAAGATCAAGAAAGTTCCATCCTGTCAACATTTAAAACGGTGGTTACAGTAATCCCTTCCCCCTATTACTAAACGGTCCCTCCCCAACCCAAATAAAAAACACCTGGAGGAGTCTTTAGTATTACGGGGTATTTTGTATCAGGGTGCGATGCTTCCCCCTAATATCAAATTAAAACCCCTAATGTAAAAAACTATAATTTTCTATTTTAAAAGCGATTAGATTTCCTTTATTAAAGTCTAATTTAAATATTGCCAAAAAATGGATTTCGAAGCTTTCCCATAATATTAAATTAAACGCCCTAATATAAACAACTAAAATGTTCTATTTCAAAATCGATTAGATTTCCATTTGCAATCTAATTATTCTAATTGAACTTTTACCAAAAATCGGATCTCGAAGCTTTCCCCTAGTATTATATAAATTAAACACCTTAATAAAAAATACTGTTTTTTCGATCTCAAAAGACGGACCCTAATAAAAAACACCCGGGGGTTGACTAGTTTTAATAATTAGGGGGCGAAACCCTGAAAAGGGACCTTCATCTTTAATTTGTTTTCGAAAGGGGATAAATTAAGAATCAAATTGGCAATTGGCCACTCTGAAATTTCCAAAATTAACGCAGACCCTAGTTTCAAGTGTATGGTGTACGTTTAGTAAAAGGATGTAAAAGGAGGAAGGGATTACAGTATGGTTAAGTACCCATCAATGGTCACATCAACAAGTCAACGTTGACTACAGCTACCCATCATGCTTTGCTGGACTTGGGACCCATCGGGCCGCTTTCCCCCCGCAGCTGAGTGTGACACTTTCCAGTATTCCAATCGCACACACCTGGCATGGAACCCCATTGTTACCCCACCATCCGATCGCCGATGTCATAGATGATGCCATTCCCCATTGAAATTACAATTTTGGGGCATACCCAACTTTTCGACAAAGCCACATCACGTCTGGGGCGAGTCTGGGTTGCCATCTCTTAGCTTTGGGGACAAGATGGGCCAAGGGTTGGGTCCAAGGCTGCAGCCCCTTCAAAACATCTTAGATTACATGATGTGAGGATATAAGACTTACCCTCCGGCAATCAAACTTGGCAATGGAACATCCCCACACTATATGGGAAAATCAACTGTAACGGGGTGATTCTTTCATGTGCCACATTTGAATACCGGGGGATATATGGTGGCTTCATCCAAATTATTAATGCATTGGTCATTTTTGCGAAACCAATGGCGAAACGGGGTAGACATTTGCTTGTCCTCCGCTGAAGTGCTCTATCCCGATTTTCCATGGATAATGACCACTGAAAGGATTCCATATGGTGCAGGTGTCAGGAGGCATCAGAGATCTACGCAGATTTGCTGCGTGACTCGGTGATTCCCTGCTAGATGTTCAACTTGAAGTGGCGCATATGTGGGGGGGTCCAAAGGTTTCTACAAATGAGGGTTCTCCAAAATGATTGAATTTTAAAAAAAAATCAATCCGTAATACAGTCCTATGAAAATTGATGATGTAAGGGTTACCCTCTGGTAAACTAACTAACATAGCTATGGAAAAAACACCATGCTATTAATGGGAAAACTCACTATAAATGGCAATGTTCAATAGCTATGGCTATGTTAAATTACCAGAGAGGGTAAGGGTTACCCCATTTTAAGACACCTCCGGGCACCCTCCGGGCCGCCTCCCCAGTCCTTAGCGGCAGGGGTAGGAGGCCACATGGAGGATGCCACGTGGGAAGTCATCACCCAAAAGAGCGAAGCATGGGGCTGGAATACTTACCATCTCGTTATTTAACATAGCCATGAAACATCTCCATTTTTAATAGGTAAACCATCTATAAATGGGCCATCTATACCGTGGCGATGTTAGTCATAACCAGAGGGTATCAACATTGGCCCGAACAAAATCACCCAGTTATGTAGGTACGTATACCAGCACCATGGAGCATATGGGTCATAATGAGTATAAATATCTGTAAATCTTCCCAGATGTCATGAGGCGACTGCAGTGATCCACGATTTTTCATGGGAAAAAAAAGGACATCACGATCCAAGAAATCCAACAAGTCACCATTCGGTGAAATCCCTCAAGCCAAGTGGTTTTCTTTGCCGTCATCTTCACTGCTTCATGCCAAAATCGCCATGAAACAGGATCACATTCAACAAGAACATGCCTTATCTCACCCATGCCACAAAAAGCCAAAACATGCTAACTTTCTCGGAGATTGATGGGCCTGCCTGAAAATCGTGTGTATACCGCATACCCCCAAAATTGCAATAGGGAAAAGGATGAACCCATGGATTTAGGTACCCAGGTAGCCGTTTTTTTTCAGACAAAGCCACAACTGGAATCGTTTTCACCATTGAGCTACTGGTCTTTTGTGAATCTTTTGGCAGCTTTTCTCAGGTTTTCTCCATTGCCAAAACACAAAAAAGTCACCATCCCACTGGCTCAGTGTTGTGGCTACGGCCTAAGCCTAAGAGTTCACCCCCATTCTCCGCTGGTTTCAACCGCTCTGAAAAATATGACTTCGTCAGTTGGGATTTTCCGACCTTCCCAATATTAATCGGAAAAAACAACATGTTCCAAAAAATGCAAGCAGTTCTCTGTTATAAGATGATTTCAACTATTCTATTCCCTAAAGATTGACATATAACATATCCCCATAAGACATAGATCCAGTCATGAGGATCTTTCCCAAACATCACAACACAACTCACTACCATCTCTCCAAGCATCGCCCACAGTGAAGAAATGGATCTGTCAGCGAGTCGGACTTTGAGTGAGGATTCGACCGATACAAAAAGCTAAGTTGGTGGCTTTAACCATCTTGAAACATAATTACAAGGTGGTGCCCCCTAGATAGTCAAGTTGGTTTATAACTCCAATAACTATGGTTTATAGGTGATGATATAACTATAGTTAATGGTGTTTATAAACCAATTTATAACTAGGGGGGCACCACCTTGTATTGGTCAGTTGGGATCATGTTCCCAACATATGGAAAATATCAAATGTTCCAAACCACCAACCAGAAATTTGGTCAACCATTTAAAGGATGAAACTAAACATTAGCTAAGTTGGTTTGTTGGTTTACCACTCCACAAAATACGGTGTGTGATAGGTTGTGGGCGAAAAGAACAGCATCTAGTATATATAAATATATAATTATATAACTATATTATTTAATAACTGACAGGCACCACCTTGCAGAGTCTTCTTTCTTCGACTGACAAAGGGTGATGAGAAGGCAGAGAAGCATCTTTCAGTCCTTTGCTGGGACTATGCAAGTGTCTTGCATGACACAGTATTTCATTGACAAGTTGGAAGCAGGGAATGTTTGAAAAGAGACCACATACTGTATTTATAGTTGCTGGAAAAGAAAAACTATATCTAAATAAGGATACCTGTAGTTATAAGGATACATTCACTGCCCACTACTTGAGTTTTCGGCTAATTCTGTCAATTACTCATCTGTTAAACATGGTTTCACTACCTATTTACCGACCATTTTACCCATCTGGCGGCCTCTTCCTCATCGAAACAGGTCGACGGCCAAGTAATGCCGTTGTAGGACTGGGCGTTGGTAGGCCTTGCTTCAGCCCGGAAGGCCGGAAGGATCCACTGAAAAAATCAGATTCGATGTTCGCCAAAAATCTCTATTGGTCATAAACATATACATTGTGAAATACATTGTGAAACATCGTAAATCAACTGGTTGGTGGTTTCAACATTTTCAACCCCTCGGCAAAATTTAGCATGTTGGGGTAACTATTCCCAATATATGGCAAAATAATCGAAATGTTCCAAACCACCAACCAGTAAAGATGTGTAGTGTTTTTCTTGTGCAACATTTCAAGATTCTCCTGTAAAAAAAACCCAAAACCCGGATGGAACATGTCTTGACCGGAAAATCCCATGTGTTTGATCATCCAATCCCGCTATCCAACGCAGTGTCTGACATTCATCCACAAGTGTTCTTGGCTAACAGCCCCCATGTTTACCATTTGATCCACATTTACATGGCCAATCTTACCCTGAAATAAACAATTAAGACTGGTGTAGGTATCCATTTCCGCCGAAGGAGCAACGTACTGAACTACCCTTCACCCGGTGGTTCACTCCTATCCTTCATGCTAAAAAAAACCTTGTATTGTTAATTGAATAAGATTTTTTCAGCATGTGTTATGAACAGTAACTACTTTTCACCAGTTATGTGTTGGTTTATAAACCAATCGAACTATGAATGTGATATAATTGCATATATGTGCTATATGTTTCTATTGTATGTTCCGAAATCAATCCTCGTTCGCCTAGTTACAATCCAACTTAGTTAAATAAGCGGCACCATCCCAGAAGGAATTACTAGAAATTACTTACCATGTCATTGTACCTCTAGCAGCTAGGCGCCCCCGCAGGCCCCACATAATACCTATAATACACCCCCAACAGACGAGACAAAAAAACACATTCATCACTGTTTACCCTCTGGTAAATTAAGATAATTATATTGACTATGGAAAATCACAATTTTTAATGGGTAAATCCACTATATATGGCCATGATCAATAGCTATGTTAGTTTACCAGAGGGTAACTCGGATTTTAGATTATCCAACTTCCATCTTTTCAGAGGTTGAGTAATCCAACACTTCCCCACCCCGGCCTTGCCGCAAGGCCGCCCCTTTCTGTGTCCCCCGACATGCCAGGCTTCTCCGCGGGTTTTGGCATGTCAGAGCAGGAGACCACGCACTTGGTCTGGCGCTTTTGAAAAAACAAAACGTTGAGTTTCTTAATGGGAAAATCATGCTGAAACCCCCTAGAACTTATAGGAACAGGAACATCCATGAAAATCCCCATAGCTGTGAAAATCATGGGACGATTATGGGAAAAATATCTCCGAACTAAATGGTGCTGTGTCACAATTCCTGCTACCTTGGTGAAAATGTTCCTGGTAAATGAAAGTTCATCCCCAAAAAAATATAGTATTGCAGGTCTTAAACCATCCCCATATAATGGGAAAAATAGGAACGTCCCCGAACTAAATGGATATTTGACGACATTTCGTGTAAGAATGTTAGAGGACAAAAGGGTATATTATGGGATTGATGAAATTTTATACATGTAATATAAGCTCTGGCAATTTGTTACACATAGCTATGGAAACTCACCATTTTCGGTAGAAGATCGAACCACCGGGTCATGTTTTATAGCTAAGTTAGTTTATCAAAAGGATATAAAAGGATAACACAGTAAGCACAAACAAGTGGCTTGTTCTGAAACGTATGATTGACGTCCTCACGTAATTTGATACAAATACCAAACACATGTACAACGCTACCAGCACCGAACATATTGAAGCATTGCTCACCTGCCAAGTGCACAGGCCACATCTCTTCCAACCAAAACCATCTGGCGCAAATTGCGCACCCACGACCGCCGCGAAGCTCGGTCACAAATTGCCCTTCCCAATCCATGCTGGCGTGCCGGAGAAAGGTGCTGTAGTTGCCGACATAGTATCGCACTTCGCTGCCAACCACGACATGCGGACACAGAGATTGCAGACACAGCATTGCGTTCCGACACTTCTGCAACCCACCATGCTCTTTGTAAATGTGTTGCGGTAGACTCGCGCGATCCTCAAAGCCAGCGTCGCATAGATGACAAGGTTCACGAGGCATGGCCACTGCTTCAACCGGCCAGATCCGCAGCTCTTCAGTGTCCCGTGTGCGATGACAGCTATCAAACAAGTATACCAGTAGTACCGCACAAGGCGGTGGCAGAAGTTTCAAAAATAGGAAACCTATAGGAGAGGTTGGTTGTTGTGAATCACGGATGGCAGAGCGAATGCACTGATGGACCGAAAGGTGGTTGGAGTTGTGTTTTCTGGAGTGGCTGCAATGGTTGCAGTGGTCACCTCACCACAACTGCTAGATGTAGTGTGGTGTAGTGCAGTTGTAGTTGTAGCTGTATTTGTATAGTGTAGTGGAGTTGTAGTTTTAAGTTATAGTTGTAAAGTAGTGCAAGTAGTGTAGCGTAGTTGCAGTTGCAGTTGTAGTTGTGGTGTGGTGTAATGAGTGTAGTGTTTTGTAGTGTACTGTAGTGTTTTGTACTGTAGCGTGGTATGGTCGATATGGTGTAGTGTAGCCTAGTGTATTGTAGTGTAAAGTAGTGTAGTTGTAGTTGTAGTGAAGTGTACTGCGAGACTTCCTTCAAAAATGGAAAGTTGAGTGCAGAGCTGACAGCCTCGTACCATTTCTTTTTTTCGATTTTTCGACTCCACCTGTCTAAACTACTGCGCCTGCCACGAAAAAGTGATACTGGGTCATACGAAGTGCTGCACCTGTCACACAAAATCATCTCAGCAAACCTGAAGATCTGATGCTCCAAAATGCAACCCCTCTCAGGAAATCAGCGCCCGGACCTCCTGACAGCTCTGATAAACATGTCTCTTGTACTGCTCCTGCCACGGAAAATGCATCTTTACAGATCCTCTTCAAATATCCAACGCCTGCCGTCGTTTTTGGAAATGCTACAAAACCATCACGTTTTGCTCACTTTTGTCAAGGTGCAATCCCGTGCGCCTGCCACGCGAAACGACATCTGAACGTCAAAAAGTGCTCCGTACCCTTCAGTTTTTTGCACTTTTGACTTGGAAGCGCCACAATGGCGTGCACTTTTTCGACATCTCAACTTCCAAAAGTGCTCCGAACCTGGTGTGTTTTATACATTTTGACTTCAAAACGTGCTTCGCGCCACAACGGCGTGCACTTTTTCGACATCTCAACTTCAAAAAGTGCTCCGAACGTGAGGTGCTTGTAGCTTTTTCACTTGCAAATGTGCTTCGCGCCACAACGGCGTGCAAGTTTTCATCTCTCATCTGGCCAGCTGGCTCCGCACCCGCCGCTTTAGCGAGCCTACTGTTCGACCCTCCGGAGCCACAAATCATTGGAAAAACACAGTGAATCGCGACTTTCCTACCTTTTCGCGCACCTGGATCTTCTTTCTTCTGAGACTTTCTCTTTTGTGATCTTCCTTCTTCTCTTCTCTTCTCTTCTCTTCTCTGACTCTTCCCATCTCTGCTTTTCATCTGTCCATGTTGTCGGAAGTTTGGCTTCTAAACTTCCTTCGATGAATGGAATTATCATCATGTTTGTGAATGTTGCTAGAATCACCATCTCTGTTCATTAACTAATGAGAGGGGGGGCACAAAATGATGACAAATGACATCACGTTATTTCTGAAACTGGTACCCTCCTACTGGTAGGCCAGAGGTAATCCGTCAACATTCAACCGTATGGAGGTTTCCTAAGTCATGGGGGTACCCCCAAATCATCCTTTTCAGATTGGGATTTTCCACTATAATATCAACTATTTTGAAGTACTTCCATGACTATGAAAACCCCCTATATATCAAGATCAACCCGCTAAGCCACTGGGCCATTGATCATGGCTTACCTGCTTACCTTAGATTCTAAGATGCACTGGAAATAAACACATCATCTTTGGCCAGATATTTAACATTCTCAAACTTGTAGAACTAAAACCACCAGCCCAGAGCTTGACGTATTTCTGAGATTTGCCAGCCTCTGGTCCTAGAAAATATCAACTGCGCTTCATCTCTCCAACAGTTCTCAGAAGAAAGGCTCATTAAAAAAAAAAAACTGGAGATCTTTGCCTCAATTCTCTTGGGTCAACACCTACACCCTAGGAAAGCACCACTATTGGATCATGTGAATTCATGCTTCAATTTGTTCCACTGTATTTGTTTGTTGGTTTCACATTATATATGATCTCCTATATCATTCCAAGTCCAAATCTTATTCTATATCTATTGATTTTTCATGACATTCATCATTCCGGTAACTTGTGGCTCCTGGCAGCCATGTCCCCAGCCGCGCCGCGCCTGGTCTGACAACTTGTAAGGCGAAGAGCATGCCTGACCTCATCGGAGCGAATTTGGGTCACTGGTGGGAATTCACCACGGTTTAATTTTAACCACTTTCGTCAGCAGTGTCATACCATTGCCTCTCGTGCGCTCTGTACTGGTCATTGCTGTACCAGCCAGGCTCTTCCTTCACCTTCTTCGAACTCTGGGAAGGCAGTGGCACTGGTGGTGGCCTCTTTGTGGGTTTCACTGGCTTCGGTTTCCTTAGTTGCAGTTGCATTTCCAATGTTAAATAAAGCTGTGGCATTTCAAATTAAAGGACCGGATAACCCCACAAGTCAACTTCTCCCAATAATGAGCTTCAGTGGTTTTAGCGGGGACAGGGAAGGAAGGAAAGACAAAGGAGGTGGTGAAAGATCGAGAAGGTAAAACGGTAGGTATGTATGTATGTACGTACGTACGTACGTACGTATGTATGTATGTATGTAGTTGTATGTGTGTGACAAAGTTGCGTGTGAAAGATGCTGCGTGTGAAAGATGATGTGTGTGCGCGACAGTGCAGACCATTTTTTTTGCCAGCGCGGCAATGTCAGCTGCTCTGCATGCGGAAGCACTGCGGACCTGGAATGGGCTGAATGAGGTGTTCCATGATCTTCTGTGCTCCATGCGGTGCAACGGGATGTGCTACGTGACGGCCGCGCCTGTCCTACAGCCACGAATCCGACGATGATGACATAGAGGAAAGGTACCTGGCCGCAAAAGTGTAGAACACGAATGTAGCTGGTTGTCAATGCAACTATGGAAGACAAGTAAAGAGCGCATGCCTGTTAAGGCACGACACAGTCACAGTGGCAAATAGTGGCAAGCACCATGGTTATGACGCTAACTGTGCAGGTTTTTCCAAAGATGTCAAGCAACCACAAAGTTCAGAAACACACAGTTCGCCAGGCATCTGCACACGCTTCTTCCCTGCAAACGAAACATGAATTTGATACCAAAACAGGCCGGAGACGCAGCTAGGTAAACATGCTTGCAAACGAAACATGAATTCGATACCAAAACAGGCCGGAGACGCAGCTAGGTAAACATGCTTGCAAACGAAACATCATTTGATACCAAAACAGGCCGGAGACGCAGCTAGGTAAACATGTCTACAAACGAAACATGCATTTGATACCAAAACAGGCCGGAGACGCATCTCGGTAAACATGCTTATGTGAGTTTGTGCCACGCCTGCCACGTGAAATGATGGTGGATGTCACCAAATACCACGCCTGCCACGCAAACAGCCGCGGCGTCACGGGCGACAAATCCGGACCAAGCGCCACCCAATGCCATAAGTGCCACGCCTGCCACGCAAAACGAAGTTGGATGTGAGTTTGTGCCACGCCTGCCACGTGAAACGAAGGTGGATGTCACCAAGTGCCACGCCTGCCACACAAAGTGCCGCGGCGTCACAGGCGACAAATCCGGACCAAGCGCGCCACCCAGCACCATGAGTGCCACGCCTGCCACGCAAAACGAAGGTGGATGTGACAGTGTGACACGTGGATTGTATGTGAGTGTGAGTGAAGTTAGTGGAGTGTGAGTGAAGTTATTGTATGTGAGAGAGATTGTGTGTGTGTGTACGAGTGTGTGAAGTTATTGTATGTTAAGTTTGTGTGTGTGAAGTTATTGTATGTGAGAGATGGTATGTGACAAAGTTGTGTGTGTGTGAAGTTATTGTATGTTAATTTGTGTGTGAAGTTATGGTGTATGTGAGAGCGTGTGTGTGTGTGTGTGAAGTTATTGTATGTTAAGTTTGTGTGTGAAGTTATTGTATGTGAGAGATGGTATGTGACAAAGTTGTGTGTGTGAGTGTGTGTGAAGTTATTGTATGTTAGATTTGTGTGTGTGTGAAGTTATGGTATGTGACATGTGTGGAGGTAGTTATTGTATGTGAGAGATGGTATGTGACAAAGTTGTGTGTGTGTGAGTGTGTGTATGTGTGAAGTTATTGTATGTTAAGTTTGTGTGTGTGAAGTTATTGTATGTGAGAGATGGTATGTGACAAAGTTGTGTGTGTGAGTGTGTGTGAAGTTATGGTATGTGACATGTGTGGAGGTGGAGGCGGGAGGCGGAGCAGGGGACGGAGGAGACCCGGGATACAGAATCAAAAACAAGAACCCCACACAAAGTTGTGGGGAAAAAGAAGTCCTTGTCAAAATCATTTTCTTTTATCATGGTGCAGGTTTCTGGAAAGGAAAGTAAAAGCACAAAAAAAGCATTGACAAATTACAAGCACGTCACACTTTGTCACTGTCTTTTGCATTGATAGTGATCACTCCATCGCTTTGCATTTTCTCCAGAGTAGCTTGCACCATTGCAGCAACCTGTGCCTTCATGTCCATCTCCACTTCCTCTGGTGACATTGCTTCCTTCTTCACTAACCAATGGTGGAGTCGGCACATCCAAGGTCAGTTTTTTATGGATCATTATCCGAAGCCATTGCCACCGATGACAGCTTGGTGAAACTTGCAAAAACTTAAAGTGAAACAGTTTTATAGTTTTGGTAGTTTGTTGGTGTTTTGTGTATGTATGTATACATATATATATATATATTTGAATGTATACATAGTATATATATATGCTAGTTTCAAATTATTTTTAAACATGTTCTATGATTTAGGCAGGGAAAATTAGATGATTTAACATAATTTAACCAGCAGAACATGGGATCAACCAAAAACAATGGCGATTTATAGCTGACTTATGATAGGAAGATGACTGTTGGATATGTGTGGGATACATCTACAGTTGAATGGCTGAAACAAAGCCAATTTGTAGCTGGGGGAGTCCGCAATTGCATGTGTACCATTCACCACTGTGTTTTTACGCAGTCGTTACAGTAGTTGGTTTATCAAGTGTCCTTCGTGTTTGTCTTATCTTATGTCTTATGAAAGGTCGCTTCTGCCCAGTGAAGTAGAACAACTAATTACCAAACGTCACTCGGCCGCTTAGATCTGGGTAAAATTTATTGAATGATGTTGAAGAGTGGAGCAGACACACTTTAAAACAAACAGTGCTTACACCATTTTCCATGTCATCTTCCAATTCGTTTCTAATAGGCAAAAAACAGCGGTTGGTCGTCATGGAAACCACCAAAAAAACATTGAGACCTGCCTGGAAAGAGAACTATTCTTGGGGATGACTGTTGGATTCCTGCATCAAAAGGGCAAAGGCATCAATCCAAAACCCACCGTTCACCAAATTTGAAGCAAAGGGAACAGTGAAGTGAACCTTCACAATGGCTATATGATGCTACATGCATACAGCAACCCCCAAAAAGATAGAATAACAAACGATAACATACAATAACTATTTTAGAAGGGTTTCATTTTTTGTGGGTCTCTACTGTTCAACGAAGATAACACGGCTAATATCACAGATAATTTATCTGCACTTATGCGTTTTGCTGGTTCGCCTGAGCTGTTCGCTGACGCAGTTACGATAAAGTAAAAGAAACTTTCCAAACCTACACCCCGTAACCTCCGATTGGTGGATGAGTTTCTCACATTCGACCAATGAAATCCAAGAAATATGAAGGATTTCCCCTTCAGACCTTACAGAAAAGGCCCCCGCTTTTAAGTTGGTTTGCTCTCCCACCTAACATTTCCATCCTTTGCCTTGTCCCAGAAAAATGTTGACCAACTTACCCATCATAAAACAACCATAAATCAACAAATGTTTACTGCTTACAACTTACAACAACTTACAACAACTTACAACAACTTACAGCAACTTACAACAACTTACAACAAGCTAGAGCCCTTTTTATTGGAACTGAACCCTGCTTGCCTCTCATAAATCAACCCCAAATCAGCATTTGGTGCTTCTTAAATCGCCAATGTTGGTTAAGAACCCAAGCTCTTGCTGGATAGGGGCCCCGGTTAACCACCAGGATGGTCAGCAACTTGCTGCCAGGAGGCAGCTGGTCTGTCCTCCAGAACCCCCGCTGTAGTAGCACCTCGCTACGATCCCCGAAGAGACCCGAAGGTGAACTTGATGATTGCTGGTGGATCATAAGTCCGAAAAAGACAGCCTGGTTGGTGGTGCAATGTGCCCATCTTGAAAAATCATGGACTTCATCAGTGGGGTTTGGATGACATCCCATATATAAAATGGAAAAATAATCCATTCATGTTCCAAACCACCAATTCTGTTTGGAGGGAGATTGACCCACTGGCGAACATTGCTGCTTCATTTGCCGAATTTCGAAGTTACAAATGTTACATCGAATGACATAACCGGTTTAATTTACCCAAGGAAACTGGTGTTCACATCGTTGTTTCTCCAACTAAATTTAGTGGTGGGCCGGACCAAACCTTTGGTGGTTCAATCCTGAAAAAACCATTGGTTTCTTGCAGGTTTTGAATCCAAGGCTGCAGCTCCAGTCTCATTGCAGCCATGTCAAAGAAAGGATCCACCCAATTTCCATGATTCCATAATTTTCCACATATCCATATTATTAGTTGATACATGTTGATACTTATTGTGATTATCTATGATTATCTTATGTGGAAAGGCTATGTCGGAATCTCATGTGGATGTCTGCTGCATGTCTCATCGCCATTGATTTCCGGGGCCAAACACCATGGCTGTCGCTGTTAGCATTGTGCTTCATCATGGCTAGAGGCTAGTTCCACCCTTGTGGCACTGACTCGCCTACAATAGCTTGGCCCAACCCTGTCCAATGCTGGGTAAATGCACATTTTTATGGGGTTCAAGCGCCATATTTATTGAATAAGGCGGTATTGGCGACAGGATTGACACAAAATGAAGGAAGGCACCTTTTCTCGTCCATGTTTGACCCATAAACCCTGTCCTTAGGACCATCCAAAAATCGTACTTGGTTAGTACCAGTAACCCTATAGTTAATAGTTCCACGATTCCTGGTTTATCCCATTCATAAGCGTGTTTCTGAGTAGGGTCATTCTCCAAGTAAAAGACCGTTTTTGAATACATCTCCCCATTTCAATGCCACATTATCTACACTTACAATATATCAATATGTTATAATATGTAATAATCCCATTCAACCCATAATATACCAAGAAATCCCAAGTACTACCGTAGATAGCTACTGTAGTATATGCCCAAAATATCTTCCAAATATACCTTCAACCCTTGCTGCATCCCAGGCACTTGGTGCAGTGTCCACGCTTCAAATCGCCGGGACAGTCGATGGGTCCTCTGAGGCTGCTGATTTTCCCGGGAGAATTATCATGGGCCAATCTGTTATGGTTACCCTCCAGTAAATAAACATAGACCCTGCCAGATAGGGGTTGGAAGATTAGTTTCCATTAAACATTGGTTATTTTCAGGGTCTATGTTTATTTACCAGAGGGTAATATATGGTTATTATATGGTTAATGATCTTGAATCATATGGTTTATCAATGATAATCTGGTTGGTGGTTGAGCCTACCCCTCTGAAAAACCTGAAAGTCAGTTAAGATGATGACATGTTCAATATCAATGGAAAAATAATCCAAATGGTCCAAACCACCAACCAGGCCAATGTTTTTGAACTCAGCCAAGAGAAACTTGATGAACTTTGCCATAGCTTTCAACATGCAAACATGATGGGTTTCCTGCACATATTCCCTCAAATATGTTCTGGGAACTTCTTGTTTAGCTGCTTAGTTTCCAAGGCGAAGCCAGAAGGCACCTGAGAGTTCCAAGGAGATGTTTTTTTTTTTACATAGATGCCAGTTGCTGTGGCCTTTTCCTTAGTGCCTATGATCATTTTGTTGAGTACTGGGGATTTCAAAATCACATAACCTTAAAGAAAACGTGGATTCAATGGATTGGCCACGGTCAAATCCACAGGAACCAAGACGCGGTTCCTGAGGCCGCGTCTATCCGGGATGATCGTTGATTCCTGGTTGTTTCCTCGATTTCAACGCGAGGGAACCACACTTTTGAAGAAACACGTACATTGTCTTTAAATGTCTTTAACATATTATATATATATATATATAATATATATATAATATATATATATATTAATCAGCAACACCATTTCAAACCACCTCTGCCACAAACCCATGATATCCACTAATATCCCATGATCATCCGCTTAATCAAGTGCCAAAGATAAGTTCTTCAAAGATACCCTCTGGTAAACGTTTACATAACTATGGAAAATCACCATGCTATCAACGGGTAAATCCACTATTTCTGTGGCCATGTTCAATAGCAAACTGTTAGTCATTACCAGAGGGTATGGATAGATTATCCATAGATTATCCATAGATTATCCATAGATTATCCAGAGAATATCCATATCTACCCTCTGGTAATTTAACATAGCTATGGAAAATCACAATTTTTCATGGGAAAATTCACTATCAATGGTGATTTTCAATAGCTATGTTAAATTACCAGAGGGTATCCCATCTGCAGCATAACATCCCTGAAGCTTCAACATCCGGCCTGCCGGGGTATCTGGGTGTGGGGTGGTCGTTGAACCTCCTGCATGGCCAATGACGCATCAGAAAGGGGATCAACATTCCTTTATATACAGCTGGAATCATCATTCTCGTATATAGCTATATATAAGCATAGCTATATGTTTATCATAGCTATAGGGTAAATGATCAACATTGCTATTTTGAGGTGTTCACAGTATATCAGGGTTCTGACACATACCTCACAAAATGGCTCAATGAGTCAGAAAAATTCAAGCATATTCAAGCCCCTCGCGCCTTCCAATCATGTAGGTAGATTGCACAATGTGTGCTTCATGCCCCAGAAATCCCACAAAGTTTCAGCATATGACTATTTTAAGTAGCCCAAATTAGCTTCACCCACTCATATCCCAATCAAAATCACTGGTATCAATACAACCCCCCCAAAAAAAATGTGGATGCGTTCACCATGTTCTACCCACCTTGACCCTCCAACGCGTTGATCCCTGCCTGGTGCAGGAGTCGGTTTGGTGTTATCACCTCGGAAGCGATGATCGCAACGACACCGGAACCCAAAGTTGGTACAGCCCTGGTCACCCTGGTCGACTGGTTGGTGGTGCGATGTGCCCATCTTGAAAAACATGCGTTCGTCAATGGGGTTTGGATGACATCCCATATATGAAATGGAAAGTCATAATCCATTCATGTTCCAGTCACCACCAACCAGTTTTCATTTTCGGATTTTCCATGATTTTCCACGATTTTGACCAACTATGTATTGGGGTCTCCAAACCACCAACCGCCACGGGGTTGGGCTATGTTGGGCTCCCGGCCACATCCGGCCAAGAGCAGAGCTGCAAGGCCGGCCACCGTCAGGATACAGGGCCGTGCCTTTTTCGCTTCAAAGAAGGAGACCGGTTCAAACATGTCATGAAGAGTTCTAGAATGGATTTGTGTACATGAATGTACATGGTTTATTTTTGTTGGATTTTACGAAAATTTATATTCTCAAACAATAGATACAATAGCGACAATAGTATATCTAGTTGGTGTTGACCCATACGAATGGAGATGGAGTCGAATCGTTGGTGTGTTGAAACGATCCAACGCAGAGAACTGTCACCCTACAGAAATACTGTTGTCCCCGCAATACTTGCCGCAAGATTGGCATGTAGATGGATCTAACAAGTGAAACAAAGACTGATTATAGAACTCCGAAACTGGAGATTGAAATACAAATTTCCTTTTCTCATCTGGCCAAGTTTGGGTTCTCCAAAATCATTTTTTAGTTGGCGCTGCTCAAGTCGGAGAGCCACTTTTTTTTACCAGGAAAACTCTGGGGTTGGTGGCCTTAACCTGGAAGGCCATGATGGGAATCCAACCAGTACAGCAAGTTTCTTGCCCAAAACAACCTGGTTGGTGGTATACCTACCCCTCCCAAAAATATGAAAATCAGTTGGGATGATGAACCAGTACAGCAAGTTTCTTGCCCAAAACAACCTGGTTGGTGGTATACCTACCCCTCTCAAAAATATGAAAATCAGTTGGGATGATGACATTCCCAATATATGGAACAAATAATCCAAGTGTTCCAAACCACCAACCAGCAACTTATCTTTTGGTGCAAAACACTTGCTTGTTGAAAAATTGTTCAATATCTCACCAGAAAGAAAGAAAAACAAAACCCTATATCAACCTAGATTTGTTTTTTTTCTTGAGGGAAAACCACATATATCTACAGTAAATCACCATTTGTAACCCCAAAAATATGAGTTTCCGCGACCTTCAGGGTTCAACATAGTGACATAGCGTGCTCCCAATGCCTGCCACATTAGGCCAATCACAACGTCCTGAGAGCCGATTTTGTTCTACATGCCACCAGGGTTGGCAATTGTTGACTATTGCTGGGGGAAGTGGTTGAATACCCTCTGGTAAACTAACATAGCTATTGAAAATGGCCATTTATAGTGGATTTTCCCATTAAAAATGGTGACTTTCCATTGCTCTGTTAGTTTACCAGAGGGTAAACAGGATCATGGTGTCATAGATAATCATAGCTGATTTCGCAGGTGAAAGCATAGATGTTTGCTGTGGAACAAGCGAATTCTCCTATGTCTCTAGTGAATGTTGCCGTGGCAATCCAAACATCCCAAACCTTCGGCTATGTCGTTTAGTGTTTGGGGTGATGAGAATGGCACTGGGGACATAAGCACAAGTTGGTTACACCAATGGGCCCAAAAGCAGGAAGTTGTGAATGCAGGTGTTTCCAAAAGTCCGTGCGGCGTCGATTAGGATTGTGGAGCTCTGTTCACAAGTAATGTGGTAAACCCAATGGGAGACTCACTATTGGGTTTACCATGGTTTACCATGGTTTACCATGGTTTACCATGGTTTACCATGGTTTACCATGGTTTACCAAATAAGCTTATGCCCATCACTCAACATCAAATGGGTATGGGTCAACATGGGGTAATCCTGTATGTTCTTTCTAAAATGGCTTCTGGACCCATACCCTCTGGTGATTTAACATAGCTATTGAAAATAACCATAGAAATAGCTGATTTTCCCATTAAAAATAGTGATTTCCCACAGTTCTGTTAGTTTACCAGAGGGTAACCATTCGGAAACTTGAAGGATGCCCCATTCTTCAGTCCAGCGGCGGTGCGTGTTGCGCAAATGCTTTGCACACAACTCGAGATGATCGAAACAGCAGCGGTGGTCGCCAAGCAATCCCACACACTGGTAATTATATACTTGGGGGCGCAGCACCGCTAAGAAAGTGGGTATATGGCAATAACAATATAAATGGTAATAATAGTAGTAATCATGATACTGATAATGATAATAATAATGATAATAACAATACATTAAAACAAACAATAATAATGAAAATAATCATAAAAGCAATAATGAACATAAACACATAATAATAGGGGTTATTATCCCAACCTATTATGGGTCTTGTTGCCATCGTTCTACCCATTCATAACCCCAACTGCACCCTAGTTCGTGCTTCTCAAATGTTGTGACTGCTAGTCTGCTAGTCAATTCTTTGATGGCAATATCATCACTATATGGCAGTGTGTCAAAACCTTGTACCCCTGTAGTTCACATCAAAATAGCTGGTATTTATGGATGTTCATCCCCCTAAAAATGATATTGATAGGTATTGATCCATACCCAAATATCTGTAGATATGGAAAAAAAAAAAACGCCTGCGACCCAGTTGTCCTACAGTAGATCCCCCCGGGATCTCGGCAGGAAGATGACTTTTCTATCCGCGCAACGGGGGAAGTTCTCTGGGTATTGGTTGCTCCATGCGTTGGTCGAAAAATGAGGGGACACTTCCAGCAAAACAATCCATAACAATCCTGCCCTCTGGTAATTTAACGTAGCTATTGAAAATGGTGATTTATAGTGGATTTTCCCATTGATAGCATGGTGATTTTCCATAGCTATGTAAACGTTTACCAGAGGGTAATTTGAATGATGAATGACAAACTTTATGGGAAAAATGATGGAAAATGGGGGCACTTGTGAAAGAAGACGGATATAGACTGCAAGAAATGACAGTAGATGGTACTCAAACTGACCAAACTCCCCCCGACTCTGAGATGATTCAATAGGGAAAATGTTGCAAGCAGAAAGATGTAGAAATTGTCGAGGTATGGTTTTTGGCATTCCCCAATGGTCAAATATGGTAAGTTGGAATTGGTTGATCACCCTACAGTAATGCCCTCTGGCTAGTCAAACTTGGCAATGGAATATCCCCCATGAAAGCGGATGATGATATTCAAGCCGGCCATGTCTGATAACCATCAGGCAGGTAGCTGTGGGATTGACCTCTATCAATGCATCGGCTATCCGGCTATCCCCCGACCCACATGGCCAGTGACCACCAGAATCAATGGATTGACTTAAGACAATGTGTACAGGAAACCATGGTTTCACATCCGGCGGATATATAATTGTTGTTTCCGTGCAAAAGTTCACTTCAACGGATTCTGTGAAATCAGAAAACATTCTCGCTATTGGCCCCCAACGATAACCTTTGCATGTTCCACAATCCCAGGAATATTATATAGTATTCTTATTGTATAAGGGATTACACTCCCATTAAATCATACAAAACACCAATGTTCATGGTCAAGCCGTTATACCGTACCACAATTCCCCAGGAATGAACTAATAAAACCACGAATGAATCTGAGCTAGGATAACCCCACTGCATTGGGTCAAAAACCAACATTGCAGATATTATAAGCATTTTTTGATGAATTGTTGGGTCTCTTCATGGTTAGACCCAATAGCATTTCCAAATAAATTTATGGAATCACCATTCGTCAAGAACTGCCTATCGGTTTGGTTCCACCATGGTTCACCTCAACCGCGCCACGTGTAGCACGCTCTTTTTGAACGCAGACATGGCGATGGTATGACCAATCCTCACCTCAGCGGCTCGCGGTGAGTTGCCTTCGCAGTTCTTTAAGCAGGAGATTGTATTTCTGTATGGCAAACAAAAACGCCTTTCCAAACAAAAATTACCAAGAAACCAGGAACCAATGCAAATGGCATGGAACATGCGTTCTTATTCAACCCGGACACTTCATTCCAAAGGGTGTGCGGTGTCAACATGCAACATGTGGGCTTATGTGTTATACATATACATATATATATATGCATATATTTGTATACACAATATTATATAGGGGATCTTATGAGTGACATTTCCGAGTCCAATTGATTGCTTCATGCAAGCGCTTGGCAGAAACCGGTTGTGTCGGCCGCACGGCAGTGCCATGGTGGCCACGAGCGCAAACCATCCAATATTTTCAGGCGTAATATGGCCTCAAACGGCCTAAAATGTGATCAATGGATTGGTTTAAGGGAAAATCTTAACCGGAAACTATGGTTTTTCCCATGAAATATGGGGCTTTCCGGTGAACATTTTGCCGTGAAAACCAATCCATTGATATGAGATTCCACTCAACTACCACTAATAGATGGCTTACCTATTAAAAATTGTGATTTTCCATGGCTATGTTACATAACCAGATGGCCTAAAATATGAGATTTCACTCAACTACACTAATATGATCAATATTGGGACACGATCATTGGATGTTTCCCTTCGATTCTCTCACAGTTCGGGGTTCCTGTCGATGACGTTGTTGTTGGATCCTGTCCCACATATGGGGGGGTTCCATAGTCATGGGGGTACCCCTATTAATGGATGGAATGGATGGTTGATTTATGTTTATTGCATGGAACATCCCATCCATACATGGATGATGACTGGGGGTAGCCCTATTTCAGGAAACCTCCATATGTATACATATCTTACAATAGCAAACGTGATAAAATTCCAACACAATTCAAATATATAATGTTATAATATTCCAACATGTGCCAAATACTTATTCTATTGCTTTGCAAATATATGTTCACATCTAAGAAAATCCACCTCACCATCATTAGTGGCCCCCCACTCAAATTCATCAAACTGGATCTCAAACCCTGCAAGAGTTGCTGTTCCAGCTGTTCCTCTGATATTAGGTGTTTACTGAACCGCGAGTACTCCAAAATTGGATGCTTTAATCAACTTTAATCTGTTACTGAAAATCGTCAGGGGGATGATTTTGGGTATCTCACAATTTTCCGAGCCCAAAATACAACCTAGAGACCCTCAAAGTTTCAAGGTAAGATGTATAGCTTAAAAATATGTGGAGCCTTCTTCGTGACAAGGGAGATCCAATCAGAACCATAAAACCCATATGGATGTTTCCTGAAATGGGGGTACTCCCAAATCATCCATTTATAGATGGGATTTTCCATGCAATAAATCATCCAGCTATGGGGTACCTCTATTTTTGGAAACCTCCATATTTATATAATCAACACATTGACGCCTTGAGCAAAAAAACGCAAGTACATACGATGCTTATCCCGGACTTCCTTGGATGGTTGTTCATACTAGTCATAGTGCAGGAAGTTACACCAACAAAAACATCCCTGCCAAACAACATCCGACAAAAAAAACATTCTAGACATTTCCAGACTCATTCAGAGGGCCTTTTGATGCCTTCTGGGACTTAGTTCACCCATATTTTCCCTGGTTTTTCTCCGATTTTGTGCGCCCCAACGCTGGCAGGACTTGGAACAATAGGACACCAATGCGCAACCGCTGCAACCTCGGCTGATGGTGATGACTTATCGCTAGTTTCATCAAGAGCTGGTGATGATCAGTGGTGATTAATGGTGTCTATTGGTGTTTGTTGGTGTTTAAAATGGATTCAATTGCTGACATGTGATGAACCCACCTAATGTCAACCCCGGATGAGACTAAACCATGGTTTATTAAGCAGGGGGGTACTCCTCCAATAGTCATTTCATCTAATACTTTTTTATGGTACCCTCCCAATTAAACAGCCGTGTTTACGGGGTTTATTAATCACTATTAATCCAGGGTTGACATTACTAAGTGAGATGAAGCACTTAGAATGTTGATGCAGTTGTTCATCGAGGAGACATTCCTTACATCAGCGAGATCAAAGCGCCAGTCCGCACCAAAAAAAAACACAGACATCCGGTTGATATGTGGAGAACTGCAATTGGTTGATATATAAATATATAGGTCATATGACATGAAATGGTGATTGTATAATTATAACACCCAGAAATGATGATTGATATTGATATTGATATTGATATTGATATTGATATTGATATTGATATTGATATTGATATTGATATATATATATATATACACCCAGAAATGGTGATTGTATGGGTCATATGATGCGCAGGATGGGGAAGGGATGAGCATGATTACAAAGGAAACATAAGGCTGAATATCACGCAATGTCGGTACAAACAAGTATTGAACAAAACTAGTAAAATCATATACGATACTGCTATATACTGCAATATTACTGGAACAAGTACAAGAGATATATATATATATAATACTTAATAGTTCAGCAACTTGTAGCCATACGTAATATAGAACTGCTGTGTTTTCAAGCATCATATCTATTACATAAGAAAAGGACATCTAATACATAATAGATATACTAATGTTCATCTAATATGATCATCTTCTATACATAGTAGGTAGCATCAAATACATTATTGTGATGATTCAATACTACGTATTGTTTTGTTAGCCACGGCTACAAAGATGGTTAATCCCCATTCCCAATTTCACGGAAAACCCAACCGTCCCCAAATGATATGTGTCATTTTTTTTGTGGCTTTACCACATGTATCCACATAAAATATCCGCATTGTATCCCACATATTATTGTAGGTATACCCAATATAATATTCCCTCTAGTAAACAAACATATCTATGGGAAATCACCACATTTAATAGGTAAATCAACTATAAATGAACCATTTTCAATAGCTATGATCGTTTACCAGAGAGTATCCCTATAATTCCCATTATGGATAGCCATTTACTCATCCGCATCACCAAAGCTCAATATCCCAACTATTCTGTGTGGTGTCATGTGATTCATCCGGTTTGATCAATGGAATATCACTAGTTTCATAATTGTCCATCATTATGTATTGGTTCACTATCAATCAGGATAATGGGAATATACTTCATGCATTGCTCCAATAGATAAAGAAACTTCGTTCCTGTATTGTAACGATATGCAATTAAAATATATTAAAATCCCATTATGGAGAATATCCTCACAATATCTCACAATCATACTTAAATCCGGAAAAAAAAACATGGACCGTCCAACATTTGATGGTGAAATGCTGATCAAAACCTACTATACTATACCATATTTGGGGTGAATGAACAGAGGGGTACAGGGCTTTGATCTCTAGCCTCAGATTAAATCCCCAGTTGTATCCCCATTCCCTAGTTGATCCTCTGACAAATCTCATCTAACCCTCATGAAAAACAGCAAGTTTTTCATGGAAAATGATGAAAAGGTCATACTTTTCTGCAAATTCTATCTTCAAAATGCAATTAACTACCTAACCACCATTAAATTCCGTAAAAAATCCATGAAAATCCCATCAAGTCCGGTACAAATCCATGTTTTGGGCCCCCAAACGTGCGGGCGCTTGGACAGCGCCGCAGCGGTGGCATCGCGGCAAGTCGACACCTGGAAAATAGGTGATTTATAGGGGATTTACCCATTAAAAATGGTGATGTTCCATCCAAAAAATTGTGATTTTCCATAGAAAAAATGTGATTTTCCATCCAAAAAATTGTGATTTACCATAGAAACAATGTGATTTTCCATAGAAAAATGGTGATTTTCCATAGTTATGGAAACGTTTACCAGAGGGTAATTTTTCCAGTTCGACCCTGATTTTATAACTGTCAATTGCATGGGTGGTTGTAAAACTGCTAGGTCAAACGTTTTGTTTTAATGATTATACTGCAGGGTAGTATGATTACAACTGATGTTGAAACATTGGATTTAGTGACCAATGATCTATAATTATGATCCATAATAAATGATGTTTAGTATCATGATCCAGAATATAGTTGGTTTATAATGATCCATTCATTGGATTTATGAATGATCTATGATTATCTTGATCAGGTTAGTGATCTATGTTGATTCATAATGCTCCACAATGTGGATTTAGTTGACAGTTGTGATTGTGGTTTGATGGCAATGTAAATCAATATGTTTTTTGATGAGCAATAAGATGCATTTGATTTAATCATCAACAAATATGGATTTAATATGAGTTGATCAACAAACGTGTGGATTTAATCATTAGCCATGAAGATCATTCAGGGGATAAGTATGGATAAGTAGCACAAATTGGGAAAATAGGTACTTCACCAGCCAACACAGCTACTGAACATGGCCATAGAAATAGTTGATTTGCACATTAAGAGCATGGTGATTTTCCATAGTAGTTTGTTAACGTTTACCAGAGGGTACTTCACCAGCCAACAATTTAAATTTACCCAGCAACAAGTTAAAGAATTCACAGGACATACACCCAATCTATGGCCTGCTAGATGAGGGTGTGTAGCATGGTTTTACGATCCAAAAAAGCGGATTCAACCAAACACATTGGTGGGAGTTTGTGTGCAATTAATATGGGTGTGTCAAATTAAATAACAAATACTGCCATAATTAGACAACTTCTTGTGGATAATGAATAACATTAATTGGGGATTCAACCAAGAAAATAGGCCTTCACACACCACCCAAGCATTTTCTGATTGGTCCCCGTAGGCGAGGGGCCGCTGGCGCTGCCGCGCCCCACATCGGCAGCCTGAAGATGTCGCGGCCTGCCGTCCTGTTGCACCACTGGTCGTCGAAGGTCCCCAGTGGCCTGTTCGCCCTGGTGGTGCTCACCTTCCACATGAAGACCGTGAACTTCTTGCAGTCGTTCCGGACATCGATGTGGAAGTCCATCTGGCTCGAGTTAGTTGATGCCAGATATGCCCTCAGCTGGACCTGGGTGCCGACCAACACAGTAGTCATTCAGGATCATAATCTGAAAACTGGTCCAACAATAGAGGCATGTTGAAACCAAAAAGACCCCAGAAAGATGGTAAAACAGCAATAACTGCTTTGATGATTTAATGATTAAACTATCTTTATTATTCTATTCATAAATGTGTTAGATATTTTTTTGGGGGGCGGAGGGTATTATCGGTCAACATCTTCCATGTTTCAGCATGCCGTCGGTATAGTCGGTATAGTACATACTTACCATGAAATTTAGCCATTGAAACATCATAGACGAGGTGGGTACTGGCACGGTGCCGCCCCAGTTCTAAGTTGGTATATAAACCCATCAACTATAGTTACCCTCTGGTTATTTAACATAGCCATGGTGTAGCTGGCCTATTTATAGATGGTTTACCTATTAAAAATGGGTGGATTTTCCATGGCTATGTTAGTCATAACCAGATGGTATATCCCCAATAAAGTTCAATCCTACTTAATCAGGTTATGTGCATCAACTTAGCTATCTTGGGAGCATCACCTTGCATGTGCATCTAGCATGGGTTACTGTATCCTAGATTGTCCAACTTGCCAGTCATCACCAGGATCATCATAGGTTGAGAAAACGGTTTCCCTTTTCTTGGACCTTCCACCGTCAACTGTCAACGGGATGGGGGAAGAACCCAATGGATAGCCACTCAATATTCAGGTTCACACAAGGGTACGTCAATGCACGGGAAAAAACATTAAGTTAAACAAACAACATAGACCCTACGTGTACTAGAGTTCGCAATCGAAGAACCCGTCAAAGGATATCAAACCGGAGTTGATTGAAAAGAAGTTCATACAACATCATACATACAACTAGAGTACCCTCTGGTAAACGAACATAGCGAACAGGAAAATCACCTTTTTCAATAGGTAAATCAACAAACTAAATGGGCCATTTTCAACAGCAAACTAGGGAGACCTCCCGACATTTGCATCCACGTGGCCGTCTTGCGTCGCAACGTCCGTGCTGCCAAGGACGTTGGCACGCTCCGTGCTCCGACGCGTGGTGGGAAGAGGCTGCCACTCTGAAGGGTCCTGGAACTTCAGCGAAGCAGGGGCACAGCATTCCACCGTAAGATGTAGGTATAGTCCAGTATAGTGGTCCCCAAAATAAGATAGAGTTGAGTGATCAATCATGATCAATTATTGTAGAGGAAATTCACTAGATATTTTTGTGGAGTTGCTGCCTTAGCATGGGTCAAGACCTTGGTCCTCCGGTTCCCTTGAAATTCCCTCAAACAAAATCATGGTGCGTGGAAAAATCGTGGAAGAATGGGATGCGTACCCAGCAAAAATGTGGATATATTGGTCAACAAAATACTTGGATTGTTCGACATTCTGCCAAAAAAAAAATCAGCAACAAAGGCGGTAGTTTACAATGAAAGATCCTAGCACGGCGCTTTACCCAACTAAGCAAAGGGCCATGACCGCAAGCAAGCACTGTACAACCAGGCAACGGTGACCAGAACCCAATGAAGGAGATAACTCCTTAAATGTGGGGCTTGCAAGATAGGTAATTTGCTCTAATTTCAACAGATCTTGGATTCATGGTATCCATAGTTGAATGGGTGAGACAAAAACCATCCCAAAGATGTGCTGCGAAAATCAGTTGCCCAGTTTAGCATCCCGGAACCAAACAACATGGGCAGCAAAAATATGCAAAAATCAGCGATGATCAGAGATATCCGGATACAATGTCTAGACCGGAAAGGATGCTCGAAAGGACCAAGTGGGTACTACATCGGCATGACAACTTTTGACGAGGGAAATCAAGTCAATCCCCAATTTTGAGTGTTTCCATAGCCATTCTTTGTTTGACAACCTAGCAGCTTGGAATTGCTGAAGGGGACATGTTTGACAATAATTACATGACAAGTATATATTTATCCGCAAATTGTGGATAAACCAATGAGAAAATAACACATCATCCACAAAGCAACTCAACGACAATTACTGGTTGGTGGTTGAGCCTACCCCTCTGAAAAATATGACTCCGTCAGTTGGGATGATGAAATTCCTAATATGGAAAAATAAAAAGTGTTCCAAACCACCAATTAGATATAAAATCTCAATGGTTGCTTTTTAAATCCTTTGACCCGACCCATTCTTCGCCTTGGCACATCCGCAACCTTCCGTCCTGAAACCAGGTCCACCAGGCGCGCATGTAACGTTGGAAGAAATCCTGGAGACGATCTTCTCTGAAGTTAGCCATTTTAAGGTCATGCCCTGCAGTGAAGCAACATAGTATGGCAATCCCAGGGAATTCCCGTGGTTTACCAAGGAAAATGAGATACTGTCATGGTAGCTTCTCCATATCGAGTTTCATTTACTGGAAAGTTCTGATGAAAAACCTATACATGGTTGTCCAAAGAAATTGATCTAGTAGTGGTGGATGTTTCATATCTATGTTAAGTCACAGTAGCGTAAACCGGGTAAATCTGACTGAATTATACTATGTATATATGTGTATATAGTTCACCAGCCTGACATCAGGACTCATCGGCAATTTCCTCCTACTGACCATCAACTACAGGTCCTAGGGTGAAATTGCAGTGAGGTCGTTAAAACGGGTAGCCTGGGTAGCCTGGGTTGCTTTCTGACAGAACATGGGGAATGGTTAGATCATGTTCCCATTGGATCCGTGGTTATCAGCAAAGAAACACATGTTTTTGGTGGATGTTGGTGGAATTGTTGTATAGTGAGTAGTGGGAGATTCGAAGAACGAAGCAGAAAATTCAATCAAAACAACTTGATATGTGAAGTAACAAACATCTGTCGTTCCCCAGCAGGTGTGATGTCTATGGGCCAAAATACAATAAACATTCAATAAACCCATTGGTTTTTATATCTCTTATGATCCAAATGAAAGTGTTCGCTATCTTTTCTTCTACCAATTCCGATTCCTGTAGCCTGAAATTCCCTGTCATGAATGATCGCATCGTGGGGACAAGGAATGGCACGGCGCCCCCAACGGCACTGATGAAAAGGACACACGTCACGGCCGGCTCCCCATGGGTCTTCCAAAAATTCTCACGCTTGGATCGATGCCCTGAAGGATCCAAAAATAGTGGCAATGCACTCAACTGTATTCATCTATTTCTGGGTTACAGAAATCTTGACATATCTTGCTGGTTGGTGGTTTCAACCCCTCTGAAAAATATTAGTCAGATTGGATCATCATCTCAACTATTGGGGAAAATAAAAAATGTTCCAAACCACCAACCAGCTAGAGTTTACAGTAATATCAAAATACTGACCTTGGTGAATCTCTAGGCACTGGCAACTGTGGGCACTCCCTGTTCCAAGTTCCACCCCAATGGGATTTATAGAACTGTTAGCATCAGAAAAGTCAGGAAAGACTTCCAAAATCAACATTTTATGCACCGGCCAGAGATGGGACTTTAAAGTCATGGAATTTCTATGAACACTCCGGCATTCACTGAAGATTCAAACGAGAAAAATAGCTACTTGGCTGTGAATCAAAACCCTCATATCCTTCCGTTCACAGCCAAATAGCTGGGATTTATTGATGGTCAAGTTACCTCTGAAATACAGTACATATAGTACCCTATTTGCGAATGAAACATCTTGGCGCAAACTGAAGCGATTTTTCTTCCAACTGAACAGATCCATTCAGCTCGGGCGGTTGGGGTTGGGTCCTGCCCTGGAACTTCAGCTTCAGGAAGAAGAACCTGCGGAACTGGCTGAGGGATTTCTGTCTTGAGTTTTGTTGCCACCAAAATTGCTATCAAATGATGTTTCAAAATCTTACCATCCTAATCTAATCTAATCTATACAAGTTCACACAATTTCATCATAGTTCATCTATAATACAGTAGTTCATCTATGTTATCTAATACTGTGTATCTAATCTAATCTCACCTACTCTAATCTATCTATCTATCTATCTACCCATGTTTTTTGCATATGGCTGATTCATAACAATTCACCAATCTGAAACAAGGTCATTTTGGAATGCGGCCCCCAGATTTCAGTTGTCCGCATGCCGATGCCATGGGGGTGCGTGCCAGCTAGGATCCGTTGTGAAAAAAACCGTGGTATAACCCACTGATTGATAGGATATCCCCACTTATGGCTTATAATCCACTTTCTAAAGCGAAATAGACATTGAATTTGCACTTTGCGTACGTGAACAAACAAGCAGTACCAAGAACCATCAACCATTCTTTTTTGTAATAATACTGTGGATGGAAAAAATCCTGCACCAGTTGGTAACTATTGGAAACTATAAGCCACTGTAAATAATGGGATTACAATGGGATAAACCATCTATATACTAACTCAGGATTTCCTCCATCCACAGTATGTACAGTAAACCACAAACATTCACTTCGTCTTGGTGATTCCTTGCTCCAGCACATGTCCATGGTGTTTACCCTGTCTTCCATCCCACGGCCTCTGATCCCGAATAGGGCATCCAATTTTTGATACTAGTCGATTATTATATGATTACATATAATATACTTATTGTTATATGTATATACATATCCCAGAACATGGCATCATCATCATCATCATCATCATCATCATCATAAGCAATAATCCATAATTCCCCTATTTTGAAATGGTTAAAACCACCTTCTGACCATGTCACTTGACCATGTCACTTGACCATGGCACTGCGCGGTAAGTGCCGCTGCCTCAAGCAGTTCGATGTCAAGAAGTTTCACCTGCACGGTTGTGGTTTACCCGGTCAGGACACTTCTAGGATTTTTGCTAGGCAGGTTTATTTACAGCTGGGCTAGCCTCGCTACGGCTCGCCAAGGTCTGCAGAGGACCCCACATTGTTGTTGGTGAATAAATCCTTGCCATGTGAAAGCTATCAGCACAAAAAGACCACTGGCCCTCAATGCTTTCAGTCTCGACAAGAAACGGAGTCGGTTGAACCAGAGTGTTGCTCCAAGTCATTTTATGTTGAAGATCCTGTCAGTTTGTGTCGTGAGTTTACTTGGTACATTGCGATACATTGTTTATGTGCTTTTGCCATGAACCTTGGCCTGATGTGCTCACCTCCTCTGAGCACCTTGTGTGCAGGCCCGTTCCTTTCTCATTATGATAAACTATCATAAATATCATAAACCATCACTACATATAACATTATATATATATAAATATGAATGTTATATCATGTTGTATCATCCATAAACCACAGTAAATTCACCGAACAGTCACCCCAGTCCCTCGTGTTGCCTCGGGGGCACCCAGGGCGACCAGGCACCGCTCGGACAAACGCATCGAACCTTGGGGATTCTTTTCGGCAAGCACCATGGGTAAAACGTGGGTAAAACGTGGTAAAGCCGTGGCTATTTAACAGTTTGCCATGGAAAGATCCACCATGTTTAAGAACGGTAAACCATCTATTTCGATTAGGGCCATCTATACCACGGCGAACTGTTAAATAACCAGACGGTATCAGGTATGTCATCAACAACAAATGGGTTGTAACAATGTTTCAACCTGATATCAATGTGATAGTTCAGTTTGTTGTTTCGGCATGTGCCCAATGAAGATTCATATGGGATATGCCCCGATCCACATGCCTGGGTCTTGTTGCTAAATATATCTCCATCTTGGCCGACAATGATTGTGCCAAGAAAAATCTTGGATGTGAAATAATAGTGTTTTTGGTGTCATCTCCATATATACAATTATAGTATATAACGGGACCAAAAATAGGAAAAAAACAATATACCACTATGGTTTGATTTTACTGTGTTATTTCCGGAAATGGAAGATTTCAAGAAACTGCCATGCAAAAAAACGTTAATATTGGACATGTGGACAAACCAAAGGGTTTTGGGGAACAATATTTTCAAACAAACCCATACTTCCTGGCTAACCTTACAGACCCTCAGCAAAAAAAAGGCAAATATCAGCAGTTGCAGCAAAAGACTAGAGAACTATAGAGAACTAACGTACCATTCAAAGGTTTCCCATGATTGCTGGTCAATTTACCATTCAAAACTTCACATCAAAGCCATGATCTACCAGTTTAATGGTCACTTGGTTTGTAGAATTTTCACAATCACACTGATGATTCACCAATCTTTTACCGTGAGTTCTAGCCATTTCTTACCAAGTTAGTTACCCTTTGTCATTATTTGGATGAATTTACCCAATGACTTTTCTTACCATCTAGGTTTGCCTGAGCATGGGTAGGCTCCCCAGATGTCATGGCTTAACAAAAATTGCAATTTGGGGGCTACGCCCCATTTTCAGGCAGACCCAAATCGTATGAATTTGACTATATACAACTATATATTTATAGTTATTTATATATCTATAATTATATATATATATTTACTATTATTATTATTGTTATCATTATTGTTATCATTATTATTGTTATTATTGTTATTATATTTATATATATATATATCTACCTCTATCAATCCCGTGAAACCTCATGAAATTCCTTTTTAATCCCATTAAGACTGACCTTTCATGTCCTGAAGCCAGAAATCCCCATGGAAAGTGACGTAAAAAAATTGCGACGTCCCAGTGGCGCAGGATGTCTTCCATGGGGCCAAGGTCGCCGTCCTGGGCTCGCCATACCCCATCCATTATAAATTTAGCTATTTGAAATGGGATTTTAGTAAATATTTTATAGTATCTTGATTTATTTCAAATGATGTTTAATTTATGATACCCTATTTGAAATTGGGTTGTAATGGATGGTTTATAATGGTTTATAATTTATAATGGATTATAGTGGAACATAGCTGGATGATTTGGGAGTACCACATGGTACCACCATGACTTTGGAACCCAAGGATTTCATCGAAGATGGATATCGCTGAACCTTTGAATGGTAGCACAAATGCAGCTGGCGTAGCCACGCTGCTTCACATGTGAAATCACATCTTTGCTTTCCTCTCCGCTGCCGAATAAATTTAGCACAATTTAGCAGTCCTAGGAGCGGGGGGAATTTTACCTGTGGGTTTCCCGGGCCAAAGTGAGACTGTTTGATGCCGGACGTAAAAAAGCGCGGCCGGACCCGCAACTAGGGTTGCAAGTGTGCTGATTAGGCTGATTTGTGGCTAAGGTGCAAATAACTTGGTGAATTCAGGGATGAAACTGGGGAAAATTAAACGAACTAGTCCATGGGTGAAACTAAACCAACAAACATATCTGGGTAGTACATGGCTAATAACCATGGGAGTATACCCTGAAAAAATAGCTGGGGCATCTGCACGGGCCAGCACCAATGCCAGTAAGTGATCCTCTATGATCACTGGGGTGAACTAACCTACTTAATACGTGGGGTTAGACACCAAGTTTGAATGGGTACAATATGTTGCTCCAGTCATATGTGGAGAATCATCCATGTTCATAGGATTTTCCATGATAAACCTACCATTTTTGGATACTCCCATGACTATGGAAACCCCCATGACTGTCGTTTTGAAGCACATGCGACTCCTAGGATGAACATAGGATGAACATCCAAGGACTCGAATGATGATGTTTGCCACTTACCCAGTGAAATAGTATCCATTATGTATCCATCCAATTCTAATAAAACCCAAAAAATGTTAAATACATTTAAATACCTAATTCAAGATATTTGATATTAAAGCCACTAGAGAAGCACTTAACACAAATGAAAGACTTATAATTGTCCATATGGACATGGACATCGTATCCTAAATTATCCTAATCACAATATATGATTGCATATGATTGCTAACAATAATGTCCTTTTGGTAAAAATAGAGGGGCCTGTTTGGTATGCCATCTATCATCATTTACCTGTTGTTAAAGGGGGCTGTTCAAACCCCTCTATGAATCAACCAACCAATGGGAAAAGGACATCTATGATTGCTAATGTGAGATAGTCGTCACAATTATTCTCAGTGCTTCCCCACTGAAATTCCTCAAGAGGTGGGTTTCGAGAATGATCTTGCTCCTGGATATCTGGAGTTTGCGTTATATGTTCTCACTTAGTTCATTTTTGCACCTCAAACGTGCCTTGATTCCCCATCCTTCATCCTCCAACTCGATACGGCTCGGTCTGACAATAGAGGTCTCCTAAAATATGGGTACCCCAAAGCCATCCATAGAAAAATTGGATGTTCATGGATTTTCCATTAAACAAAACATCCATGTGTGGGTACCCCCATGTAAAGAAATGGCCATAAATGCATCTGACTCATCTGGGGAGCCCCAACCCTTGATGCTCCCAGAAAGCACACCTGGCAGTGAGAGCTTGGACCGTGGCAATTTGACTTGGGTCTAACGTTTGATCCTCCAGGTAACTAGAAAAATGGGGTATCACTGGGATTGTTTAAGGAAAATACAACAGGAAACCCCTATATATATATTTCATGAGGAAAACATTGTTTCCAGTTAAAACCATTTAAGGTAGCATATACACATGATGTTTCTACTTTAACATTTTTTTTGGGGTACTGTACTTGGAGAGTCTAAGTACAATCTGATCCCATCTAATTGACCCTGAAGCCCCATGTATGGCCGTGAACTTGGGTTCCTTTTTTTCTGGTTCGGGTGTTGTGATGGGATGGGACTACCGTTGAACTTCCGTTGAACTGCCGTTGAACTGCCGCTGAACACTTCATGAAGATCGCCCAATTTTTTTTTTGGAGCTACGTAGACCAGCCAGTTCCTGGGCAATGCTAACCAAACGATGGTATTTTTTTCCACCAGGGCACAGCAACGTGGTCCCAAATCCCAAATCCAAGGCTACGTGGCCCACAAGATCTCGGCTACAAATACTGCAGAGACTGTTGCACTGCAGAGCTGTCACCGCCCCACAGAAGATGACCCCAAGTAACAACCGATCCGTTGCGCGAAAGGGCGAGAAATGCACCATCTGTGGCCTCCACTTCGCAAACGTTCTCGAGCTGGTGCTGAACTGCAGAACTCTCTCCACCGTGTTTTGGATCACCCCAGGTCACCACCGATCCATCCTCCAAAAGAGCGGCAAACGCTGAGGCAGTGGCTGCAATTTTGGTCACCAGCTTCAGCTGACGTTGAACTGTAAAGCTCTGGCCACCAAAGAGTGCATCGCCCCAGGTAATGACTGATCCATCAGCCAAGATGGCAGCAAATGCAAAACTTGTGGTCTGAATATGCTTCACATTACGGAGCCGGTGTTGAACTGCCGAGCTGTCACCACCGTAGCACCGATCGCCCCAGGTAACCACTGATCCATCATCCAAGATGGCAGCAAATGCGCCATTTGTGGACTGAATTTGCTGCACGTTCTTGAGCTGATCTTGAACTGCAGAGTTGTCACCGCCATTGCGTGGATCGCCCCAGGTAACAACTGACCCACTAGCCAACATGGCGGCAAATGCTCCACTTGCAGCATAAATTTGCTGCACATTTCTTAGCTGATCCTGAACTGCAGAGCTGTCGCCACCACACTCTGGATCGCCCCAGGTAACAACCGACCCATCAGCCAAAATGGCAGCAAATGCACAACTTGTGGCCTGAACATGCTTCACATTCCGGAGCTGATGTTGAACTGCAAAGCTGTCACCACCCGCAAATTTATCGCCCCATGTAACAAGCGATTCATCAAACAAGATCGCAGCAAAAGCAGAACGTGTAGCCTCAATCCGTCGCACATTCCTGAGTTGATCCTGAACTGCAGAGCTTTCGCCTCCATAAAGCGCAAGGCCCCAGGTAACAACTGACCCATTAGCCAAAATGGCGGCAAATGCTCTTGTCGTTGCCTGAACTTGCTGCACATTCTTGAGGTAATCTTGAATTACGAAGCTGTCACAGACTGGATCCCCCCATGTCACGATCCTGTCACCTCCACAAAACCACACAGCGAAAGCTGCCCCTGTTGCTGCCACTTTGGGCTGTTGAGCAACAACTGTGAGGTGATCTCCTTCTTCAACACCTGCAGTTTGCAAAGACTCCATAGGGTCAGTTAAGGCACGTCCATTCTGTGTGACGAGCCTCAAGAACCCCTTGCCGAAAGATGTTTGGGCCCGGATCTTCAATTCCCCGACGGTCGAGCTTTGAGGGAGGGACAAGGTGTCACCAGAGCCACTTGGGAATGACACATGTACTGAAAGCATGACTTGTTCGAATCGACAAAGCCACTTGGAGCAGTAACATCTTGAGCCGAAGGTATCCGCAACTGAGCTTCCAGGAACAGTCTGCTGACTTCATCCTGATGAATTCCGAATCGAAGCAAAACAGTCGTTGAATACAAATCCCGTGCAGGGCCTTTTTCATGGGGCACGACTGGCATTTTGGTCAATTTGCATAAGCAAACATATTTCGAATTCCAGAAATAGTGGTCAGATTGGGATCATCCTCCTTGCATGGAAAAAAACACAAATAATACCAGCAACCATACAAAATACAGTCATAACGTTGTAGGACACATCATCATCACATTATTTGTCCAATACTTGTCCATTTACATCGCACCTAAAATGGGCAGTGTTCAAAAGCCTTTGTCAACCCCTCAAGTCCGAAAGGACATGACCGGCCATGTCTGTTGCGACCGATAACCCCAAACTAGTTCGACACGTCCAGCATATTCACAAATGCGTTCGAAATTAAGTTAGCTGACAAACAATTGATATATGGGTATATAGGTACACGGAAGATGCGTCAAATATCTTCCCTTATACTACTCTTAAACTTATATAATTATAAGTTATAAGTATAGCATAGTATAGCTATATGGATTGAATTTCCCGTTCTACCCCCATTATGTCGACTGCCCCATCCGTCCCCTTTTAAATCCCAGCAGTTCTCACCTCCGGACCACCGGTGGCCCGTGAACTGCGACAGCATCGCCTGGCCAAGGAAGCTGATACTAGTGATCTATACCAGCTGGTCGGTGGTTGACCTACCCCTCCGAGAAATATTAGTCAGTTGGTATTTATAATTATATATATATGGGAATAATAATACTATTATTATTCCCATATATATATATATTTATATATATGTGGAAAAAATAAAAATGCTCCGAACCACCAACCAGCTAGTGATTTATAAGCTGAATGATTAGTAATGATTTCTAGCTGATGAATCAACTGATTACCCGGACTGTACTTGGTTCCACGAAGCATAACTTGCTGATGTGGGCCGGTGATGCCGCTTTAATCCAGCGAAAATTGTGTTTTGGAATATGAAAAACTGGGTCGGTTTGGTCTTTCCCATTCATGGATTATGCTAATCAATTGATATTGGTTAGCATATAAACCCCAAACATCCCCAAACTAATCATCAATGAACCATGATTCATCAGCTATATCACTGTCTACCCCAAGGTTTTCTCATTGGGGATCCCCAGATCACCATGGAAGGGTTTCAATACTAAACTGGTCATCCATGACTTGGATGATTTGGGGTACACCATTAGGACACCTCGGTGAGAAAACCCACGTTGGGATGTGGACGAATTCCCCGCCTGCCAACAAAGAGCTGCACATGGCACACGGCGTTGCAGCGTTGCTTTCGACTTGAAGCCCCATGGACAGTGCGCCCTTCAACGAGAACATGCCTCGCTATCCGCTGCCACAGTATCTGGGCCTAGAAATATGGATTTCAGCAAACAAAATGGTGAGAAATTACTCTGAAATGTGGAATTTAATCAGCCTTACTGATCCAAAATTGTAGCAAAGGGCTATATAAACAAGTGGTTTCATCAATACACATTGTCAAACCTCTGGATTGCAGCAAACAAAATGGTGGTTTGATCATCGAACAACATATACTTACATATAATTGCCAACTGTTGTGCGGATTATTATATACATGTGATAGAAAATGGTTTTATTAACAATCCTGTAAAAATTGAAACAACAAAATTTGAAACTGGCACCAATACACTTGGAATTTCAACAACTGAGGATGCACCGGTACTTAACAAGCTAAGAAAAATCAACATCTTTAATCGGCAAATTCATCGGAGATCCCATCTTCGCGGTGCACACCCCAATTGCCAGGGTTATTGATGGGAAAACACATTATATATGTTTTTTAAACCATAGATTTCAGCGGATATATGTTCAGACCATTTGGTCCGAAACTGGTGTACATGTCAATTTATGGTCATTTTGAAATTAGATCGACCTATAGATATCGATGGACCATCCAAAATATATCAAAATATATCAAAATTTGGTAGAGTACTCCATTTTCAAGCAAGCTCACAGAATTACCGTACCTTTTTACCCTTCGAGGAAAACTTTAGCCAATGACTGTCATCCCCGTATATAGGTTGGTTGGCGCGGCTTCGCACCTTAGACTTTGATAATAACCGTCAATGAGTTAATCCTACAATTACATATATACTCTATTAATTATATTATATATTAAATAAAAGTACGTATTATATTAGTTATATCATATTATATTATTTTATATTTTATGATATTATATATATATATATTATATTTTATTTTATTTGATTATATTAAATTATATCACATATAGATACTATATATCACATATACATACATATCTAGTTCACAACAACAAACAACAACGATGATTCGTGGGTTGTATCCCCATGATTTGCTCAAACGCGCAAAGTTTGTGGTGCGGCAAAAATCCTCCTTGTATTCATCGTTGTGGCTTGGAAGAAAGCCTGCGTTTTAAAGAACAAAAACAGGTGGTACAATATGGTACAATTACCTTCTGGTAAACTAACATAACCATGGAAAATCACCATTTTTAATGGGTAAATCAACGAACTAAATGGCAATTTTCAATAGCTATGTTAGTTTACCAGAAGGTATTAACCACAACCAATCATCATTTTTCTGTTTTCAGTTCATCCTGCAGGGCATTGGTGAGCAGGTGGCTTTCGATTTTATCTTTCATTTCCTTTTGCCAGGCCTCAGGAGTCCACCTCCTTCCAGCTTGCACTGGACCTCTCTGCACCAGCTTCTGCCCTGCGTCTGCTTGAAGCATGTAATAGCTGGACCAGTAGGCGTTCACACACAACCCCTGGCGCAAGTATGACTTCGAGTGACATTGATTGCAAAAACGAAGATCCTGGGTCCTGGAGCACCAAAGGTTCATCATCTGAATCTGCAGGTTCCTTTTTCACTTCAAGCAGCTGCTTTCCTTCTTTATTTTTCCTCTCAGTCTCTGCAATATCTTTGAGCAGCTCTCCTGTGCAATATGTTTTTTTTCGATTTCCTCTTGGATTCTCTTCTTGGATTTCTCCCTTTCCAGAGCCTTCCTATCCTCTAAGGAGACCCCTTCCAGTGCAGTGGCCATGTGATCTACACGTTCTGAGTCTGTCATTTCCTCTTGTTGAGGGTGTAACACTTAAGACGTGTCGTGCTGCATGTTATTTGGGAATCGCATTGTAAGGGCCGCGTCAAGAGGTGACAGGTGACACTCCACACTCAACATTTTACACTTTACATTTTTCATTTTACACTCCACACTTTACACTTTACACTTTACACTCGACACTTTACACTCCACACTCCACACTGTACACTTTACAACAGCTTACACTCCACACTTGACACTTCACATGTTACACTCCTCTCTCAACACTCCACACTTTACAATCCACACTTTACACTCCACACTTGACACTCCACACTTTACCCTCCACACTCCACACTTCATACTGCACACTTTCCACTTTACACTCCACACTCCACACTCTACACTTTACACTCCACACTTTACATTCCCCACTTTAGACACTCCACACTTTACATTCCACACTTTAGACACTCCACACTTTACACTCCACATTTTAGACACTCCACACTCCACTCTCTACACTCTCTACACTCACTACACTCTCTACACTCCCTACACTCCACACTCCACACTCCACACTCCACACTTTACACTTCACACTTCACACTCCACACTTTACACTGCACACTCCACACTTTACACTCCACACTTTACACTTTACACTCCACACTCTACACTTTACACTCTACACTCCACACTTACACTCCACACTTTACACTCCACACTTTACATTTTACACTCCACACTCAACACTCCACACTTTACACTCCACACTTCACACTCCACACTTTACACTCCACACTTTACACTTTACACTCCACACTTTACACTCTACACTTTAGACTCTACACTGCACTCCACCCTTTACACTTTACATTTTACACTCCGCACTCAACACTCCACACTTCACACTCCACACTTCACACTGCACACTTTACACTTTACACTCCACAGTCTACACTTTACACTCCACACTCTGCACTTGACACTCCACACTTTACACTCCACACTTTACATTCTACACTCCACACTTTGCACTCCACACTCTATACTCCACACTTTACACTGCACACTTTACGCTCTACACTTTACACTCCACACTCCACACTTTACACTCCACAGTCTACACTTTAGACTTTTCAGTTTACTTTTCGCACTCCACACTCTAGGCTTGACACTTTCCACCCCACACCTTTCACTTCACACTCCACACTGCACAATCCCCACGTCACACTCTACACACTACATTCCACACTCAACACTCCATTCTCTTTACGCTCCACACTTCGCACTCGACCCTCTTCCGCATTCCACAGTCTACATTGCACTGGTAACAGGGGAAACATGCACAAGACTGTTCAAACAACTTGTTTCACAAAAGTGTTGTACGTGACTGCATTCGGGTTCGTGGGCTGCATCGTCTTTCAATTATATGCCAAATTGTAGTGGTTCAAAATTAAAGATCATAGAAAAATAACATGATTTTATCAATTCGTTTACAGTACATCTCAAAATGCAAGTCGCATGTGGCTAACAAGAATCAAACCATATTTGGATAATCTTGGATATATATATATATATACATATATATGCTACCCCCCCAAGACCTACATTTTTTGTATTAGGTATGTCCTTGGCTGCCTTGTCTTTCTTCTCATCTTCTCACCTATTGCAACACTGCATCAGGAAAGTAGCTTGTGCGCATGCACCTGGACACATCTCGCCCACATATGTAGCTATAGCATAGCACATGTGAAGAAACTGACCACGTAGGTGCATGAACACTGAGAGCACCTGGGTGGGTGGGAAAGGACAGAGAATGTATTGCTTTGGATGCATGAGCCCATGTGTAGCATTATCATAGCGCATAACTCAATTGGACCGAGGAACAACGAGACACCAATCGAGACATATTCCATGAAGAAGACCTGGCAGAAATTGGATCAAAAAGAAGCTTTCGGCACGATTGTGAACACGGAAGACCCGAAGCAATATATTGCAATGCATTTTTCCCCAAAGCTCTACGGCTCACTTCTTGCCCATAAGGCGCTTTGCGGCCCATTGGCACAGAGATCCGGTCGCCACCCACATGTCTGCATTTTTGTACCAATACTGATACTGAGCAGATCGGAGTTTGGATCTCAGCAGGCTCGACCCGGCTTTTGTATTTTGATTAAGGCTGAGACGCTCCTTTAAGAAACGCCAGCAGCGGTCAATCACTTGGGTGCCAGCTTTCACACGGATCTTTTTATTTGTGCCTGGAAGCTTGTGTTCCACTACTTTGACATATCGTGGCGCCTGCCATTTCCATTTGCCGCGTACTTTCACGCGTTTTTTGCAATGGACTACTCGATCGTGCAACACCCCTGCAACACGGACCCTATAACTCTTGGCAGAATCCGTGTGCAACACAACCTTTCTGTTCTTCAGCCAATGGTCAGCAAGGGGACGCCACTCGACTTTGCGTACTGCACCGGGGCCCGGTGCACGTGCATCTGTAAGAACAGGCTTCAGACGATGCAAGACCAACGACTCCGGCTTCCCTCGCTGAACAATACCACACCATTGTTCCCACTCAATTGGCTTCTTGGTGTTGCCCAGCTCTGACACATCAGTGATAGTCTTCTTGTCGAATGTAGTTTCGTCTGCCTCGACATCCTGCCACGCTGCTCCGTTGCCGAAGACAATCTCTTTCTCCTTCTCCTCCACATACTCCTTGCGTAGTAAAGCCAATCGCTTGTCCAAGTCCTCGATGGCCTTGTGATTCACATGCATGAGCCTGTGGATGGTGGAGTTTGGAATGTTGTTGATTTTGAGAAGTAATAGGGCAGCCTGAGTCTGCAAGGGGCTACCTGCCACACCATAACCTTCTGTAAACAGAGGGTGCAAGTGATGCGGATTGAAGTAGACCTGGCACCCCCTGGAATTGCAGCGAAGCTTAGGGGATGAGTCACCAGGCTTCTGCACCCAACCGCGTAGCTTCCCCTTCTCACACCGAGGACAAGTTTTGCCACGCCAATCAGGCAACAAGCCATCCTGCATCAACATCTGCACGATCCCCTTGTCGGTCGCATGGAGGATGTCTGGCAAGGACCTCTTCCACTTTGTCTGGTCCATGCGAAGACCCCGCGGACCAACATCCGCAGCACCCCTTGTATACGGTACATTCTGCCAAGACTTTGCCTTCGTCTTCTGAGAAGCTGGGCGTTTCAAGACCATACGAGATTTGCCCTTCTTTGGTGCCGGGAATGGATTGAATTTGGAACGCATAGCGCAATGGCCTTGAGTGATGGCTATATGGAACACAAGAGTTGAGCTGTATGCTGCAGTGCAATATGCATGAATGGATGCTCGCTTCGCTTGCAATTACTTGTGCTTCGATGGAGACAGCGGACCTTGATTGCACAACACCGACAACATAACCTTTTCGTGCGATGGCTATGTTCCTTTTTTTCTTCTCCCCTCGGACACGACTTCGCAAGTCTATCTTGCTATTGTACGAATCTACTGCATTCGAATTATAGGCTACTTGTCTACATGCCATTCAGTCCCATGTAGTGGGCTGCCTCTTCATCAGCCTCTAAATCCATACTCTTCGGTTCCTCAGGCTCCGCTTCCATGGGATCTTGGTATGCAGCTTCTGCATCCTCAGCCAACTCCTCAATGTGCTGCGATGGTGGTGGAGAAGTCTTGGCCCGTAGTCGACGATCGGGATAGACGAAATTGCCACGGCGACGCCCCGAGGGTTGAGTGCCAATGGGAGGCACAGGGCAGACCACATCCATATTGGCTTCTGGAGTAGAAGGGCAGGATGATGGTGGCACAACATGGGCACTGCGGAAAAGAAGTTTGTCCTGAAGCTTGTGGTTCACATAAGCAACATAATCCTGCAGGTTTTCATATCCTGCAATCTTCTGAAATCCTTCCTCCAAGACTTCCTGTTCCTGGAGAATCTCTGCATCAAAGTTTGATCCAGTCTCCATCGTACCTCCCTTGTACTTTCCATACAAAGGTTTGTCCCGCTCACCTAGCAAGTCAAGATGCACGTCCTCCAGGCAAATCCGATGCACAATGGCATCTCTATGTGCACTTGGCAAACGAAGGTAGAGAGCGTGGTTGCCGAACATGAAGACAATGGAGCGTTTCAGTACTGCCAAGACATCTTTCTCTCTGTCACCGCGGAAGAATTCATCAAGCAAGCTAAAGAAGTTGGCTTCAGAAATCACTGTGTCACCTGCATTGCAATCAAATCTTTCTTCTGCCAAGTCATTGGACGCATAGGCCCTCATTTGATTCCGTAACATCTTGGTATCGTTGTACCTGGACTCAACCGTTCCATCCTCATCACATGTAAGGAAACTCTTCAGGTCGGCTATGCACACCTTGCTTCGATCGGGGTCGTCTAGAAAGAGAGCCTCTTGAACCTGAGGGGCTTTGTGCCTGAAGTTGTCCAGGGATTTGGCTCGGCGCCAACCAGCCTTCAGGCCTTCACATCCAGATCGACGAACGTGGTAACGACCAAGCGCCATTGCCAGAGTGATCACAAAGGGCGTTTTCCCCACACCAGGACAACCCAGCAGCAAGAGGCCAAAGTTGATGAGCAGTGGATACAAGTATGGTAGCAAGATAGTGTGCAAGAATGGCTTCAGGCTATAGGTTGTGAGGGGAAACTCGGTCATACTCACAGCACCTCCAAGCCCCTTGCTTTTGTTTTGGCACATTTGCCGTACCTTCGCCTCCGGCCATCCTGCAATAGGTGTGCTTGAGTCAGGCTTGATGTTGAGCAGGATCCACAGTGTTTGCTCGTTGAGAGCGTCACATTCTGGGGCAAATGCATTGATATGGTAGATGCCTTCTTCCAGCTCAGACCTTGATGGTGACCAGGTAGGTTTTGAGGAATGCTCCGCCTGGGTCTTCTCTTCAAGGGCAAACCATCTAAGTTGATACCCTCCCAAATGATTGAGAAGCCACTGCACTCCCTTTTTGATGTTCCAGGGCCCCGATCTAAAGACTGGAATATAAGCTTTCCCACTGCACAAAGCTTCGGCAGCTTGAAAGGACATCGGACGTGGCAGATAGAGCACTTTGAGAACATCTACGTTTCCATTCGCCATGGTCACATGCACGAAGTCCATTTTGGTTGTACTCGGAGGAGTGCCTTTGAAACGGATGGGTTCAGGTAAATCATCCCATCGATATTGCATAGCGATCTGGCCAATGTCGACTGGTTCGCCACATGAGGGTATGTCATTGTGGAAATCAAAGAGAACTGTAATGGATTTCACACCCTTTTGCAAAGGTCTGCACGCATCAGTGGTGAATCCAATGCATGTGATGGGCTCTTCCACTTCGACAATCCCACATTTGGCTTCTTCCAAGGGTCGTAGATATAACGGTTTCTTTCCCAATGCTTGGATTGCCTTATCCATCAATGTTCCAGCCATTGCAATCAAAGGGGAGCACGGCGCGGTGCACAAGACAAGACTGGGGCGGACAGGTTTGGGCTCATGTGACACAGCAGAGAAGAAATACGAGAGTGACAAGAATCCACACATGAATTGAATGTTGAATGTCAACTGCCAGCATGTTCAAAACAATCAGACCTTCCCAAGTACTTTCGCTGCCACACGTGCATGCCAAGGACATATCTCTAAGTATGTATACATATAATGCTAAGGCTCAAGGCTCTAGTGCCAGACTGCTTTTCTTTTCAGTGTGCATCAAGCGGACACAATGAGAGATACATCTTTTTCAACCCGCATGCCCTTGTCTCAGCGACATCAATCGGATGCCATTTCATGATCAGAAGAGTCAGGAGACGAAGCTTCAGCAGCCAAAGATTCATCCATATCCATAGGGATATCCGCGGCGTTTTCCGGCTGTAGCCGGCGCCGCAAAGCGGCATTTTCCTGAGACAGCCCTGCGATGATCTCATTCTGCTCCTCAATCTGAGCGGTTGCCTTCGCAAGCTCGCAAGAGGTGTGATGCAATGCCGAGAAAATCCCCTCAAACTCCTCTTTCCATTTGATCACTTCCTTGCTTTTCTTCTCGAGTTCAGCATCTGCCTGATGTTGTGGACCTTCGGAAGATGATGAATCCGAATCGGAATCGGATGTGGAAGACGAGGATGCTGGCTTCTTCTCTTCCAAAGTGGAACTGGAGGATGATGGCTTCACATCTTCCAAGGCCAATTGCACAGTTGCAGTGCTCCTTTTCGGATTGGCCAGTAAGTTTTCTAAGCGCTGCTGGGCATCTGCACTCCATTCACCATCACCTCCCGGACGCAGGCGCAGTTGCCTTTGAATCGTGCCCATCATAGTCGTCAGGTCTCTCTTTGCAACTGGATGGCGGCTGTCATGAACCTTGACTGTTCCTGCTCCGATTTTTTCCAGGAGCTGAGATGTTGACGGTCGAGTCATGGCCACTTTGATGTCAGGCTCTGGTGTCAATGTCATGATGGCCTTGCCTTGCGACATATTCACCGTGCCGGTCACGTTGAAGAACGCCATGGCAAATAAGAGGGGAAGCGATGAAAGCTGAGAACAAGAATGGCACTGGGGCAGTGACAATGGATTGCAAGAATGGAGCAGTGACAATGGATGGCAGGAATTGTATTTATGTCTTTTCCAGCCTAAAGGAATGCATCCAGAATGCATTCTTCCCAATATCTAAGATCCAAGATCTAAGAATTGCGGAGAAGTCTTGTGCAAATCTTGGGTTTGGAATTTGCCAGAATACTCTTACCAATCCCTATGAAAATTCTTTAGGAATCCAAGATTTTGATCATGCATTCTTCCCAAGATCTAAGATCCAAGATCTAAGAATTGCGGAGAAGTCTTGTGCAAATCTTGGGTTTGGAATTTGCCAGAATACTGGGGACTCTTTGGGGCAAATCTTGAATCCAGGATTCAAGATTCAAGATTCCTGAGGACTCTTTCCAGCAAATCTTGAATCCAGGATTCAAGATTCAAGATTTCTGGGGACTCTTTGGGGCAAATCTTGAATCCAGGATTCAAGATTCAAGATTCCTGAGGACTCTTTCCAGCAAATCTTGAATCCAGGATTCAAGATTCAAGATTCAAGATTTGCCCCAAAGAGTCCCCAGAAATCTTGAATCTTGAATCCTGGATTCAAGATTTGCTCCAAAGAGTCCCCAGAAATCTTGAATCTTGAATCCTGGATTCAAGATTTGCTGGAAAGAGTCCTCAGGAATCTTGAATCTTGAATCTTGAATCCGGATTCAAGATTTGCCCCAAAGAGTCCCCAGAAATCTTGAATCTTGAATCTTGAATCCTGGATTCAAGATTTGCCCCAAAGAGTCCCCAGAAATCTTGAATCTTGAATCTTGAATCCGGATTCAAGATTTGCCCCAAAGAGTCCCCAGAAATCTTGAATCTTGAATCTTGAATCCGGATTCAAGATTTGCCCCAAAGAGTCCCCAGAAATCTTGAATCTTGAATCTTGAATCCGGATTCAAGATTTGCCCCAAAGAGTCCCCAGAAATCTTGAATCTTGAATCTTGAATCCTGCCGAAAGAATGCATTCTGAATGCATTCTTTGCAAGATTCAAGATCCAAGATCCAAGATTCCCACAAGGGTTGGATTCAAGGCTTGAATCCTCTATGTATATATATATATGTATATATACACTATATAACATCCCCCAAATCCCGGAATCCAAAATTACATACCAAAAATAGCAAATTTTACTGTAAATACCAGTACTTTTGTGAAATTGGTAGGTCTTGGGGGGGGGGGTACCATATATATATATATATATACATATATATACATATTTTTTTGCTGGTTATGTTCAGGGCCTTTTAAATGGGGTATCTCTGAAAATGGGGGTCTACTCAATGGCCATCCAAAAAAAGGACTGGAACATGATGATTGGGCAATGGGTCCATGGGTGCCATATTTTCAGACAATCCTTTGGTACCCAAAAATCTATTGTTGTTTAAGACAGTTTTATGATGAAGACAATTTTATCCATTTGTCTTAATCATAAATTAATCTTTATGATTACCATATGGATTTTCCATGAAATAAACATCTATAAAAGTGTATAAACCATCTATTTTGGGGTAACTCCATGACTATGGAAACCCCTATATGTTTTTTGTCCAACGTAAGGCTCAAAATGTGCAACTCAGCGCCGTACTTTACGGGTGCTCCACTGGATCTTTCACAACCTGAAAAGGGAAGCTGATGGAATGTTGGTTGATCAGTGGTTTGCCTATATAACATCATATCTGTCATATAGGTTATAGAACCATAGACTACAGATGAAAACTCAATTTACATATGATATTATATATATATATATATGTTATAGAACTATAGTTTGTAATTGGTTTATCATATACATGTAGATGGTATTACCTGTGTGTAAAACAAGGTAAACAAATGCCACAAACCAGCCATGACTGGGAATGGTGACAAGTTTATACCACCGAAAAAAATATTGATGCTGACTGGGGGATGGTAAACATGACATTTTTTACCCACAGTGATGCATACCGTGCTTCTTATTGGCTTATCACATGTGGTATCCCAGACATCTCCACCAGGCTCGCTACCAACTCAGTAAACCCATGTAAACGTCGTAAGGCCGTTCTCGAAACCAAGTACTTCGTTCTGTTCTCTGCAAACTCTTTAGGTGATATTTACAATGTGGTGCCCCCAGCTATAAGTTGGTTTATAAACCATAGTAAGTATAGATATATTTACCATAAACCGTAGTTATTGGAGTTTTCAACCAACTTAGCTAAGTATGGGGCACCACCTTGTATGGTATCCTCATATGGAACAAAAAAACTAAAACTGTTAGCCATGGAAACATATGAAAAACATATTTATGGTATCCTCATTTCGCAGCGGCACACGTATATGCATAATATGAATCAACTCATCTGGAAAACATCGACCAAAATGGGAGGATATAGATGGATATAGTATCAACTACCCTCTGGTAATTTAACATAGCTATTGAACATTGCCATTTATAGTGGATTTTCCCATCAAAAATGGTGATTTTCCAGAGTTATGTTAGTTTACCAGAGGGTAGTACTTTCTAACTTTTGAAACCACCAGGGAAGACTTCCCTGGGTCGCCCTGACGTGCCAGCAACTCCTGGGCATGTTGCGTCCACTCCTGGCATGCGTTTGGAAAGAAAAAACGAAAGGGGGACCACTTAATGACTTAATGGGACTAGTATGTGATTTACCCTCCAGTAATTTAACATAGCTATAGAAAATCACCATTTTTAATGGGAAAATCAACTATAAATGACCATTTTCAATAGCTATGTTAAATTACCAGAGGGTAATGGGATTTTATGGAACTTCATGGGACTAGTATGGGATTGTGATTTTATGGGATGAACATGTGGGATTTAGTGGGGTGTTTCATGGAACTTCATGGGATAAAATGGGACTGAATGAAGCTTAATGAAATTTATGTCCAGCTTAATATATGCTTGGTGTGTCTAAAAATGAAGGTACAGTAGGTACACCCTATTTTAGTCAGGGACAATTATAGATCATCCATTGGATTTTGGTGTACCTGGGGTAGCCTATTTTTAGACACACCCACATATACCAACTATTATACCTAAGATTATAAATATATTTTACAATTGGTATAATTTTAGGTATAATAGTTTGGTAACCCATATTATACCACTTACTATACAATATTTTCTATTATCTTGTGGGTTGCGGTGTAGTGGTAAACATCTTTATACCAACTAAACATTATATGACCTTGTTAACACACTGCTTATACACCAACCAACGGTATTCAACTTTAATGTTCATAGATCAACTATATATAATGTGTAATGATAGCGTTTGCTAACTATAGGGGGTTACATATTAAGGTGTATGTAGTGTGTATTTAAATGATTATACAGACTACAATGGGGATATCATAGGAGCTATAACTGGGTTTGATCGTCAATAGAGTGGGGATAGTGATACCTGTATTTTCCATCAGCTGGCAAAATATGGCAATTAGAAACATGCATAAACCAGAAACATTTAAGCCATTTTAGATCCATTTTAGATCCATTTCAGGAAAATTCCAACAAACATTTGAGTACAACTCTTGTTTATAAGTAACCACAAAGCACAGCAGAATTCCGGGGACGGATACCCAAGCGGACTGGGCTCGAACTTTTCGGGCCACAACTTTTGAATTGCCGCAAGTGGCATGACTGAAAATTGGGATACAGCCCCAATCTCGCCTAAATTTCACTAGGCAACATGATGATCAGCCAGTGGATTTGCGTGTGTCCTGTGAATGGAGTGAACCTCTGATGGCAACGGAACTATTCAAGAGCCTTAACCATTCCCACCACTCCCAGAAGAAACCTGGTAGCATGGGAAGCTCATGGGAAGCCTATGGGAATGGTACGATGGTTAATAATCTATTGGAGGAAACATGAGGGAACCATCTTGACTCCATGAAGGTCAATAGTGGCCATAGAGTTGAAGCTGGCCCTTCCAAAGCTCCCATGAATTGGAGGAGACCAACTGGCAATGTGGAGTTGGGAGTTAAAAGTTAAAAGGGCAACATATTTTGCGCCCCATCAAAACAGAAACATGTTGACCGTAAGGGTTGTTAATATTCTGGGATTGAAATTGCCTATCAAGCTTTCTTGTCATATCTGTAATTCTATCTTTCTCACAGTCATAGGATGAAGGTTGGAAGTCTTTTGACCGGGTTTGGGGGTTTGCCCCTATATCTTCTAGAAACAAATATATACTGGAAAAATAACATGAACAACAAATGCATTCTGTTGATTGTTCTCCGATCGCCAGTTGTCGATACCCTGGGGAAAAACACGCAAATAGCTGATTAGTACATGTTAGTACGTATATCATCGCATCTTGTATAATATATAATAATAAATATATTTATATATATATATCCCATTTAAGGTAAAACGTGGGAGTATTACTGTAAATAAATATGTGTAGAGTATATCAAACTATCCATCCGGCCGGTTTCTTCAACTCTCTTCAATGCATGCATTGACCAAAAAGAATCTGTCCCTCTCCTGAGGAAAGTCCTTCAAGGTCTCTGCTTCTGGGAGTGCCCCAAGCCTGATCTGACTGGAACTAACGAAACCATGGTTTAGTAGTGGATTTATTCATTAAGAGTCCCAAAGATTGGGGATAGTTCATGATATTTCATACAATCTGCAGATCGACTTGTGTAACTTACCTCCTATTATCATGGCTTACCTTAGACTCCCGAACCAGGAAAATAAACGAAGACATTACATCCCCAAACAAAAAGTTGGATTTCATCAACAGCAGCCACTATTTGATCCTCAAACTTTGGCAGTTCACAGACCTTCAGAAACAAAATCTCAGTGACATCCCCAGTGTTGCTATCTTCCTCCCCAGCCGAAGCCTCCCACTGCATCCACCGTCTTCATCATATCATCTTCATCATCATCTTCTTCATCATCATCACCGTTCCTGAATTGAATTACTCACCAACCTGTAACAAGGTGATTTTTTGATGCACAGCAATTCCCACTACCAATCATCCAATCACTTTGGGGCGCCGTTTCACTTGATCAGTGAACATATGCCAATTATCAGGGATATTTCGTAACCTATGGGGATTGCGCCCATGTTTGATGTTCCTACCCACCCGAACTACACCCACAAGTAATCATCATCCATGATGTCATTGTGATAATCCGCCCAGATCCAGCAAGAAAACAAGTGGGTGCCCCGGCGCTGCAGACAAGCACACAGAGGCTGAGAGACATCGGCTCGAACACCACCAGCCCTTTGGCACGCACAAAACCTCCCCTGGCGGTCAGCTGCACGGGAAAAAGATGTGTGGTGGGGATCCCTTCCGATAGAGTCTAGAGGAAAGACATGGGCTTGCACAGAAATGGTTTCGCCAAACTTAAAATCACAAAGTTTGTATAGGGAAACAGTGGATTTTGGCATGCCCTGTTTTATACATCAAACCCAAGTCCAACAAATATTTCTGCTGCATAAATCGAGTTACGCGACAAGAACTTGGACTTGAAGGCATGTTTCTAGAACTGGTAAAGTAGAATCAGAACAAACATCAATTGGTTTTATGGTGGTTTCTGTGGATCCCCAAAATGTGGTCATCCATGACTTGGGATGATTTGTGGTCGACTTTGGAAACCTCGGAATCTCTTCTTTTCGGACCTCCACTGGACCCCAGCGCCTGCTGAAAGCACCACCGAGAAAGGGTCCTTCAGCTCCAAGTCCTCCCAAGGACTGTAGACCTCGCAAAACACGACGTACGACGTGGGCTGGTTTGACGCTTGAAACATGTCGTGGTTCTGTCATTTTGGCTGGAAGAACATCTTTGCGTCTGCGGAACCCATCTGAAAAAACACTACGGTATATATATATGTATATAGAAACCTATATATTTATATATGTTATGTACCACAAAACGTAAAGTAACGTAAAATAACATAACAAGATTAGATTGGGTTAGATCACATTACATTACATTAAATTACGTTACATTACATTGTATATATATATATATACACATGTAATAACATCATAATATGTATGTATATATATATATGGGTGCGAGTCAAAAATCGGGTGTGGATCGCTCCGCGGTGATCCGTACTATGGATCAGGAGTGCTTATGTAAGGTGCCTGATCCGTACCCTTTCGTAAGGTGCTGATACTCCTACTATCTCCTGCTTGCTATTACTTCTCCTCCGGCCACTGTTGCTGCCAAAACTGTTACCACTGCTAGTAGGGGGAGCAATAAAACAAAAACAGCACCAGCAGCAGTAGTGGCAATAGAAGGAGAAGATGCAGTAGCAGTAGAAATAGCAGTAGAAGTAACAGTAGTACAAGTAAAAAGTGATAATAATAATAACAAAATAATCAAATGGTAGTAGCAGCAGCAGCTGCAGTAATACTAGGAGTAGTAGGAGGAGTAGGAGTAGGAGCAGGAGCAGGAGTAGGAGTAGGAGTGGGGGAAAGGAGCAGCAGCAGCAGCAGAAGGAGGTAGTGTTAATAGTAGTAGTAGTAGTAGTAGTAGTAGTAGCAGTAATAGCAGCACTACTAGTAGGAGGATAGTAGCAGTAGTAGTAGTAGTAGTAGTGGTAGTGGTAGTGGTAGTGGTAGTGGTAGTGGTAGTGGTAGTGGTAGTGGTAGTGGTGGTAGTAGTAGTAGTAGCAATAGTAGTAGTAGTAGCAGTAGTAGTAGTAGTAGCAGTAGTAGTAGTAGTAGCAGTAGTAGTAGTAGTAGTAGAAGTAGACGTAGTAGTAGTAGTAGTAGTAGTAGTAGAAGTAGTAGTAGTAGTAGTAGTAGTAGGAGTAGTAGTAATAGTAGTAGTAGTAGTAGTAGAAGTAGTAGTTGTAGAAGTAGTAGTAGTAGTAGTAGAAGTAGTTGTAGTAGTAGTAGTAGTAGAAGTAGGAGTAGTAGTAGTAGTAGAAGTAGTAGTAGTAGTAATAGTAGGATAGTAGCAGTAGTAGTGGTAGTAGGTTAGTAGTAGTAGTAGTAGCAGCAGTAGTAGTAGTAGTAGTGGTAGTAGTAGTGGTAGTAGTAGTAGTAGTAGAGTAGTCGTCATCGTCGTCGTTGTGGTGATGGTCGTAGTAGCAATAGTAGTAGCAATAGTAGCAATAGTAGCAATAGTAGCAATAGTAGTCGTAGTAGTAGTAGTAGTAGTAGAAGTAGACGTAGAAGTAGAAGTAGTAGTAGTAGTAGTAGTAGTGATAGTAGTAGTACGAGGAGGAGGAGTAGTAGTAGTAGTAGTTAGTACTAGTAGTAGTAGAAGTAGTAGAAGTAGTAGAAGTAGTAGTAGGAGTAGTAGTAGTAGTAGAAGTAGTAGTAGTAGTAGAAGTAGAAGTAGTAGTAGTAGTAGTAGTATTGGTATTAGCAGTAGTAGTAGCAGTAGTAGTAGTAGTAGTAGTTGTTGTTGTTGAAGTAGAAGTAGAAGTAAAGCAGAAGTAGAAGTAGAAGTAGATTTGGATCGGACACGTTATCTGGGCCGGCTTTCCCGCTATGGCTGTGAAGGAAGAGAGCAGGGTATTTCTAGTTTAGTCTAGTTCTACACGTGCCAGGCAAAGCAGAAACAGAAGGAGTTGTAATCATAGCGCCACTAGAAGTACAAGAAGCACTAGTGGAACTAGAACCGGTCTTACTAGCCTCCAAGGTGCACTTGCAATATTGCTACCTGGAAATCCCAAGGTTGTTAAATTTTTGTACTCGGCTGATTTGAGCTCAAAAAACATATTTGTCGAGGCAAAAACGTACTTGTATGTAGAAAACGTATTTGTTTATTTTTTGCTTTGGGTGCACGTTGTGATCTTAAGCGATAGATTTCAGGTAGCTAAGGAACTTTCAGTGTCTGTAAGGGTGTAAAGCGATTTTGGTCCTGACAGAGCTTGAGCTCACTAGGGTTTCCACTCAAACTACCATCAAATCTGAAATAAAAGAGCTAGACAATCAAGATCTACTGAAGCATGACTAATGTACAACTCTTGAGGTATCAATGCAACATGCCAGTGCCCAAAAATGGCCCGAAGCAGCGTGGATCAAAACCAAAAAACAGATTGGACTCCATTCCGGGAATTTCCGCGTTTGTTCCGCAAATTTCCGCGTTTGTTCCGGGAATTTCCGCGTTTGTTTCTGGCGCGATTGTGTTCAAAAACATGGAATGCCCCAATTCACCCATAAACACGGCTGCAAAGCAATGCCACAGGTTGCTCAAGGCCTTTAACCACCCAACCAATTCCAGGTGAGTGCGAGCCACAATGCCCCATCACAAGATTTTGTGGTGGGATGTATGATGGAATAGTGACACTTGCGGAAATTCTGATTCTTTCCCACAAAGTCTTATTTGTTCCCTTGCTTCATGACGGCCCAAACGGCCAAACAAGCAAACAATTCCCAGCATACTCAGAATATGAAGATGTTCAAAAAACGTCTTTGATTCTGAAAATATATCAAAAACATATTCGTTTGGAAAAACAATATTTTCAAAACAAATACATAAATTATGCATACTTATGGCTGCCTAGGTAGTAGCTAGTCGACTAGTTGCATTTGTCCAACTACCACAAGCACACAGAGGAAGTGAACCAGCACCAGCAGCGGGAGCAGGACAAGCAGGAGCAGCAGCAGAAGCGACAGCAGTAGCAGCAGCTCCTGGGAGGAAGATGACTAGTAGTAGCAGCAGCAGCAGCAGCACGGGCAGTAGTAGCAACGGTAGTAGCAACAGTAGTAGCAACGGGAGTAGCAGTACGAGGAGCAGAAGCAGTATTAGGATAAAAAGCAGCATTAGGGCCAGCATCAGTCTTTCTTCAACGAGAAAGTTTCAACGAGAAAGGGGTATGTATCATGGGTATGGATCAAGGGTATGGATCATGCAGTATCATAGGGTATGGATCAAGGTATGGATCGGGGGGTATGGATCGTGTGTGGGCCCGCACCCTTGATTCATACCTTGTACAGTATTTTGACTCGTACCCATATATACATGGAATCATATGGTTGATTGTATGATATTATATATTATATATTATATATTATATATTATATATTATATATTATATATTATATATAGTATATTATATATTATATATTATATATAATATATTATATATTATATATTATATATAATATATTATATATTATATATTATATTATATTATATGGTTGATTATATGATATTAGATGCATATTTAAAGCAGATCCCCCAAATAATTGATTAATGGAGCAAACAAGAATATATCTTAAATCATCTTCAGAAATCCAGAATAGATCTGTACTGATCTGGCAACAAAAGGTAGGATGTGGTGGGTGACCATCAAGATCCTACCTGCGCCACCTTTTTAGCGGAGCTCTATCTTGAATACATCATCGACAAACAGAGTTATCGTATGGAATCTGGAAAATATAAAATCGATGAACAAATCATGCTCCGAGGATGGTTTCAAAATTACCAAGTTGGATAGTTGAAACATGTTGAACCCCCTAAAAAATAATGGGGATTTTGGTTACCACCTATCAACAGAGGTTGAAACCCCTAGAAATATTGGGATATCGCGGTTCCACATTCCACGGTGGCACTCACACTGGGATGATCCAATAGTCATCACTTTCCCTGCAACGCGAGATTCGTGGAAAAGAAGGGGCAACAAAAGGGCAACATGCAATGTTTGGACAGACACATTTGATGATTTTTGACGATTTTTGACGATTTTTGATGATGTTTGATGATGTTTAATGATGTTTGGACTGACTAAGCCTAAGCCATGGAAATTCACAGAACTGAACAGGTAATAACAGTGACAGGTAAACCAACAATAAATGGTTCATTTTTCCATAGCGGCTATTTGTTTCACTATTTTTTTCCGGGTACCGTTCTGGTCACTATTTTTTTAAACAGTTTTTTACTAATTAATTGAAACCACGTTCAACGGTTCCCTGGGTAGCACTTCACTCAGTAGTTTTGGCTTAGTAACAGGTGATAACAGTGACAGGTAAGCCAACAATAAATGCTTCATTTTTCATCATTTTTCCGTAGCCAAAACTTTTGTCTGTCGCCATGCGTCTGTCGCTTCAGACCCATCTGAGGGTCACGCGGTTTGACCCTGCTTCAGCAGCGAGGAGCCTGACGCGGCGGCAGGCCAGCAAAATTTGGATCAGACATTTTGGCATAGCGCCTTTGTATGTGGTTAAGATACTGTTAATAATGGTTAATACATGGTTATTATATGGTTAATGATATACTGAATAATATGGTTTATCAATGATCTGGTTGGTCGTATACCTACCCCTCTGAAAAATATGAGTGAAAGTCAGTTGGGATGATGACATTCCAATATATATATATATGTGGAGAGGACCTTTTGGGTTTATTTCGTTCCTACGTTCATATGTCCACACGCGCTCTCAACTATGATCTTGGGCAAGGTTCCCTCGGCTATGGTCTTACTTTTTGGCCTTCCTTTACATGTGTTTGTCGTTTGCTGCTGGGGTGGAAAGATTGTCCCATTAAGAGCATGAAGCAAGAGCTCTTTGACATTGATTTCACTTCTTCGGTTGTCTTCACTATCTCCTCTTGTTGTAACTTGGGCGAACGGGTTTGTAGTTGTCTGTTGCTGCTGGGGTGGAAGGGTTGTCGTCTTATGTACTTGTTTGCTGTTGCCCGGGTGCAAGGTCTGGCTCAGGCTCTTTTCAGAAGGTTGGGATCCAGTGCCCCCCCTCCCTTCACTTCTCTCACTTCTCCTTCTTGGCGTATCTGTATCTATTTGTTCATGGGGCGGAAGCGCGTGCTCTTCTGCCAATCTAGGCGCCAAGTATCTTCAGAAAATCATGTTTTCCCCTTTGTACGCTGTGTTTTCCATCTCATGTCATTATTTCCTATGTAACCTTCCTCTTCCTCTATTCTTACAGGGATGAAAGGGTTGTCTCTTGACCACTGGTGTTGCATCTATTTATCTAATTGTTGTTGATGGGAAACAGTGGGCTCTGAAGCGGAGGTTGGGTAAGGTCCTCTCAGCTATGGCCCTCCCTTTAAGATCCTTTAAGCACGTTTTGCATTTTAATTTTCCTGTACTTGTGTTTGTCTGTAGTCGCTGGGTTGGAAGGGTTGTCCAATAGGGAGCATGAAGCAAGAGCTCATTGACATTGTTTTCACTTCATTGGTTGTCTTTCTCGTTTTGTCTCTCTCTCTCTCTCTCTCCCCTATTGATTTCATTTGGGTGAACGGGTTGGCTCTTGAGGGGAGGTTCGGCAAAGGTTCTCTCGGCTATGGTCTTACTTTTGGCCTTCCTCTACATGTGTTTGTCTGCTTTTGCTGGGTTGGAAGGGTTGCTCCATTAAGAGCATGAAGCAAGAGCTCTTTGACATTGTTTTCACTTCTTCGGTTGTCTTGACTATCTCCTCTTGTTGTAATTTGTGCGAACGGGTTTGTAGTTGTCTGTTGTTGATGGGGTGGAATGGTTGTCGTCTTGTGTGCTTGTTTGCTGTTGCCCGGGTGCAAGGTCTGGCTCAGGCTCTTTTCAGAAGGTTGGGCTCCAGTGCCCCCCCTCCCTTCACTTCTCTCACTTCTCCTTCTTGGCGTATCTTTATCTATTTGTTCATGGGGCGGTAGCGCGTGCTCTTCTGCCAATCTAGGCGCCAAGTATCTTCAGAAAATCATGTTTTCCCCTTTGTACGCTGTGTTTTCCATCTCATGTCATTATTTTCTGTGTAGCCTTCCTCTTCCTCTATTCTTACAGGGATGAAAGGGTTGTCTCTTGACCACTGGTGTTGTATCTATTTATCAAATTGTTGTTGATGGGAAAGAGTGGGCTCTTAAGGGGAGGTTGGGTAAGGTTCTCTCAGCTATGGCCCTCCCTTTAAGATCCTTTAAGCACGTTTTGCATTTTAATTTTCCTGTACTTGTGTTTGTCTGTAGTCGCTGGGTTGGAAGGGTTGTCCAATAGGGAGCATGAAGCAAGAGCTCATTGACATTGTTTTCACTTCATTGGTTGTCTTTCTCTTTTTGTCTCTCTCTCTCTCTCTCCCCTATTGATTTCATTTGGGTGAACGGGTTGGCTCTTGAGGGGAGGTTCGGCAAAGGTTCTCTCGGCTATGGTCTTACTTTTGGCCTTCCTCTACATGTGTTTGTCTGCTTTTGCTGGGTTGGAAGGGTTGCTCCATTAAGAGCATGAAGCAAGAGCTCTTTGACATTGTTTTCACTTCTTCGGTTGTCTTGACTATCTCCTCTTGTTGTAATTTGTGCGAACGGGTTTGTAGTTGTCTGTTGTTGATGGGGTGGAATGGTTGTCGTCTTGTGTGCTTGTTTGCTGTTGCCGGTGGGAGGGCTGTCCCTTCAGGAGGAGTGAGTCAAAAGCTTAACCGTTTCTGGCTCTCTGTCATCAGATCTTATCATGCACGGGTGGGAGGGCTGGCTCAGGCTCTTTTCAGAAGGTTGGGCTTTAGTGCCCCCCCGCTTCCTTCACTTTTCTCACTTCTCCTGCTTGGCATCTGTTTATCTATTTGTTGATGGGGTGGAAGCGTGTGCTCTTCAGCCAATCTAGGGCCAAGATGGGCCAAGTATCGTCAGAAAAATCATGTTTTTCCCCTTTGCACGTTGTGTCCTCCATCTTGTTTCAGTGTTTTCTATGTAGCCTTCCTCTTCCTCTATTCTTACAGGGATGACAGGGTTGTCTCTTGACCAGTGGTGTTGTATCTGTCTATCTACTTGGAAAGGTTGTTCCAAAGGGAGCATGAAGCAAGAGCTCATTGACATTGTGTTCACTTCTTTGTTGTCTTTCTCTTTCTCTGTCTCTTTCTCCTATTGATTGCATTTGGGTGGAAGGCTTGGCTCTTGAAGGGAGGTCCGGCAAAGCTCTCTCAAGTTAAACTTTGACATTACTTTGAGCAGGGGAGGTTGGGCAAGGTTCCCTCGGCTATGGTCTTACTTTTGGCCTTCCTTTACATGTGTTTGTCGTTTGTTGCTGGGGTGGAAGGGTTGTCCCATTAAGAGCATGAAGCAAGAGCTCTTTGACATTGGTTTCACTTCTGTGCGTGTCTTTCACTATCTCCTATTTATTTCATTTGGGTGAGAGTGTTGGTTGGCTCTTGAGGGGAGGTCCGGCAAAGCTCTCTCAACTAAAACTATGGCATTACTTTGAGCAGGGGAGGTTGGGTAAGGTTCCCTCGGCTATGGTCTCGCTTTTGGCCTTCCTTTACATGTGTTTGTCTGCTGTTGCTGGGGTGGAAGGGTTGTCCATTTAAGAGCATGAAGCAAGAGCTCTTTGACATTGTCTTCGCTTCTTCGGTTGTCTTGACTATCTCCGCTTATTGTAATTTGTGTGAAGGGGTTTGTAGTTGTCTGTTGTTGATGGGGTGGAATGGTTGTCGTCTTGTGTGCTTGTTTGCTGTTGCCGGTGGAAGGGCTGTCCCTTCAGGAGGAGTGAGGCAAAAGCTTAACCGTTTCTGGCTCTCTGTCACCAGATCTTATCATGCACGGGTGGGAGGGCTGGCTCAGGCTCTTTTCAGAAGGTTGGGCTTTAGTGCCCCCCCGCTTCCTTCACTTCTCTCACTTCTCCTGCTTGGCATCTGTTTATCTATTTGTTGATGGGGTGGAAGCGCGTGCTCTTCAGCCAATCTAGGCGCCAAGTATCTTCAGAAAATCATGTTCTTCCCCTTTGCACGTTGTGTTTTCCATCTTATTTCATTATTTTCTGTGTAGCCTTCCTCTTCCTCTATTCTTACAGGGATGACAGGGTTGTCTCTTGACCAGTGGTGTTGTATCTGTCTATCTTTTTGGAAAGGTTGTTCCAAAGGGAGCATGAAGCAAGAGCTCATTGACATTGTGTTCACTTCTTTGTTGTCTTTCTCTTTCTCTGTCTCTTTCTCCTATTGATTGCATTTGGGTGGAAGGCTTGGCTCTTGAAGGGAGGTCCGGCAAAGCTCTCTCAAGTTAAACTTTGACATTACTTTGAGCAGGGGAGGTTGGGCAAGATTCCCTCGGCTATGGTCTTACTTTTGGCCTTCCTTTACATGTGTTTGTCGTTTGTTGCTGGGGTGGAAGGGTTGTCCCATTAAGAGCATGAAGCAAGAGCTCTCTGACATTGGTTTCACTTCTGTGCGTGTCTTTCACTATCTCCTATTTATTTCATTTGGGTGAGAGTGTTGGTTGGCTCTTGAGGGGAGGTCCGGCAAAGCTCTCTCAACTTAAACTATGGCATTACTTTGAGCAGGGGAGGTTGGGTAAGGTTCCCTCGGCTATGGTCTCGCTTTTGGCATTCCTTTACACGTGTTTGTCTGCTGCTGCTGGGGTGGAAGGGTTGTCCATTTAAGAGCATGAAGCAAGAGCTCTTTGACATTGTCTTCGCTTCTTCGGTTGTCTTCAATATCTCCGCTTATTGTAATTTGTGTGAACGGGTATGTAGTTGTCTGTTGTTGATGGGGTGGAATGGTTGTCGTCTTGTGTGCTTGTTTGCTGTTGCCGGTGGAAGGGCTGTCCCTTCAGGAGGAGTGAGTCAAAAGCTTAACCGTTTCTGGCTCTCTGTCATCAGATCTTATCATGCACGGGTGGGAGGGCTGGCTCAGGCTCTTTTCAGAAGGTTGGGCTTTAGTGCCCCCCCGCTTCCTTCACTTCTCTCACTTCTCCTTCTCCTGCTTGGCATCTGTTTATCTATTTGTTGATGGGGTGGAAGCGCGTGCTCTTCAGCCAATCTAGGCGCCAAGTATCTTCAGAAAATCATGTTTTTCCCCTTTGTACGTTGTGTTATCCATCTTATTTCATTATTTTCTATGTAGCCTTCCTCTTCCTCTATTGTTACAGGGATGAAAGGGTTGTCTCTTGACCAGTGGTGTTGTATCTATTTATCTACTTGTTGTTGATGGGGAAACCATGGGCTCTCAGGGGGAGGTTGGACAAGGTTTTTCTCAGCTATGGCCTTCCCTTGAAGCATGTTTAGCATTTTTCCTATACATGTGTTTGTCTGTTGTCGCTGGGTTGGAAGGATTGTCCCATCGGGAGCATGAAGCAAGAGCTTTTTGACATGGTTTCACTTTTTTGGGCCTTTCTCTCTCTCTCTCTCTCTCTCCTATTGATTTCATAGGGGTGGAAGGCTTGGCTCTTGAGGGGGGATCCGGCAAAACTCTCTCAACTCAAACTATGACATTACTTTGAGCAGGGGAGGTTGGGCAAGGTTCCCTCCGCTATGGTCTTACTTTTGGCCTTCCTTTACATGTGTTTGTCGTTTGTTGCTGGGGTGGACGGGTTGTTCCATAAGCAGCATGAAGAAAGAACTCTTTGACATTGTTTTCACTTCTTCAGTTGTCTTCACTATCTCCTATTGATTTCATTTGGGTGGAAGGGCTGGCTCTTCAGGGGAGGTCCGGCAAGGTTTCCTCAGCTATGGTCTTACTATTTCTCCTTCATGTTCTTGTCTGTTGTTGCTCGGGTGGAAGGGTTGTCCCATAAGGATCATGACGCAACATCTTTTTGGCATTGTGTTCACTCTTTTGGATGTCTTTCACTATTTTGCAAACTGGATGCCACAACAGTTCATGAAATTAATCCAAAACGGAACCCCCAAATGGATGCACCTAAATTTTGCAAAAGGACTCCGAACACATGGCTTTGGGGCACTCCAATCTAAATTGCAAATGCAAAACTGTTTGCTAATGAACATGTGGCATATACATTTACATAACGGAAGAAGAATAATTTCAAAGCAAATGAGCTGTTTGCTTCGAAATTGTCTTCCTCCGTATATTGTGAACCTTTGCATTTTGCAATATGTTTGATAGACTTAGGAAATAGTTTAGACATCATTCATGCCTTTCCAACCATATCTGAGGCGTTTTTTCTGTCTTCGCTTTTGTAGTTCTTGTCATCCTTCCTTATGCCGCTGATATCTCTCTCTTTGAAGGTGGGTTGGTGCCACTAAATATATTTTATCGTAACAGTCTAGCAGCTAGAATATTCCAAAAATAAGATGACGAGTGCAGAGACAATACGAGAAGCCGTATGACAAAAATATGCAGTTGGAATTTGAACTTATAACAGTTCGAATATTCCGGATATGTGTGTCTATGAACCAAAAAGCACACCAAAGCACAGTTATAAAAATGATTTGCGTTTGTTTTTCGAATATTTTTGAATTGTTTCGCTTCGATAACCCGGGTTCGGATCAATATTTCTATAATTCCTTGTCCTCGGCACCTGTGCTTTTCTGGAAACACACTTTACAGACAGAATGAAAGGAAATGAACGGAAACTAAAAAGTAAATGAAAGGGAAAGTACAGGGAAATGAAACGGAAATGAATGGGAAATTGAAGGGAAATGGAACGGAAACGGAAGGAAGAAAAGGGAAATAGAGGGAAATAAAGAAAAGTACAGAAAACATGCAAGAAATGAAGACATTAAAAACATTAAAAACATTAAAAACACAGAGGCTCCAGAATCCGAGACTTGAGACCTGTGATTTTGGAATTAAAAACATTAAAAACATTAATCCCCCTGAAAGGCTTGTGTTTTTAATGTTTTTAATTGATTTAAAAACATTAAAAACATTAAAAACACAAGCCTTTCCGGGGATTAATGTTTTTAATGTTTTTAAAGCAATTAAAAACATTAAAAACATTAAAAACACAAGCCTTTCTGGGGGATTAATGTTTTTAATGTTTTTAATTCCAAAATCACAGGTCTCAAGTCTCGGATTCTGGAGCTTTAATGTTTTTAATGTTTTTAAATCAATTAAAAACATTAAAAACATTAATCCCCCGAAAGGCTTGTGTTTTTAATGTTTTTAATGTTTTTAATTGATTTAAAAACATTAAAAACATTAATCCCCCAAAAGGCTTTTGTTTTTAATGTGTTTAATGTTTTTAATTGATTTAAAAAACATTAAAAACATTAAAAACATTAAAAACACAGAGGCTCCAGAATCCGAGACTTGAGACCTATGATTTTGGAATTAACAACATTAAAAACATTAATCCCCCTGAAAGGCTTGTGTTTTTAATGTTTTTAATTGATTTAAAAACATTAAAAACATTAAAAACACAAGCCTTTCTGGGGATTAATGTTTTTAATGTTTTTAATTATTGTAATTCCAAAATCACAGGTCCTCAAGTCTGGGATTCTGGAGCCTCTGTGTTTTTAATGTTTTTAATGTTTTTAATTGATTTAAAAACATTAAAAACATTAATCCCCCAAAAGGCTTTTGTTTTTAATGTGTTTAATGTTTTTAATTGATTTAAAAAACATTAAAAACATTAAAAACATTAAAAACACAGAGGCTCCAGAATCCGAGACTTGAGACCTATGATTTTGGAATTAACAACATTAAAAACATTAATCCCCCTGAAAGGCTTGTGTTTTTAATGTTTTTAATTGATTTAAAAACATTAAAAACATTAAAAACACAAGCCTTTCTGGGGATTAATGTTTTTAATGTTTTTAAATCAATTAAAAACATTAAAAACATTAAACACACAAGCCTCTTGGGGGATTAATGTTTTTAATGTTTTTAATTCCAAAATCACAGGTCTCAAGTCTCGGATTCTGGAGCCTCTGTGTTTTTAATGTTTTTAATGTTTTTAATGTTTTTTTAAAAAACAAAACCAATTCAAAACATTAAAACATTAATCCCCCCCCGAAAAGGCTTGTGTTTTTTAATTATTTTTAATGTTTTTAAAGATTTAAAAACATTAAAAACAATTCCCTGAAAAGGACCCTTTGTTATTAATTGTTTTTAATGTTTTTAAATATTTAAGAACATTAAAAACACTAAAAACATTAAACACATTAAAAACATTAAAAACACAGAGGCTCCAGAATCCGAGACTTGAGACCTGTGATTTTGGAATTAAAAACATTAAAAACATTAATCCCCCAAGAGGCTTGTGTTTTTAATGTTTTTAATGTTTTTAATGTTTTTAATTGCTTTAAAAACATTAAAAACATTAATCCCCAGAAAGGCTTGTGTTTTTACTGTTTTTAATGTTTTAAAAAACATCAAGTTACAAACATTTAATGTTTTTAATGTTTTTAAAGCAATTAAAAACATTAAAACCACAAGCCTCTTGGGGGATTAATGTTTTTAATGTTTTTAATTCCAAAATCACAGGTCTCAAGTCTCGGATTCTGGAGCCTCTGTGTTTTTAATGTGTTTAATGTTTTTAATGTTTTTAAATCAATTAAAAACATTAAAAACATTAATCCCCCGAAAGGCTTGTGTTTTTAATGTTTTTAATGTTTTTAATTGATTTAAAAACATTAAAAACATTAATCCCCCAAAAGGCTTTTGTTTTTAATGTTTTTAATGTTTTTAACTGATTTAAAAACATTAAAAACATTAAACACATTAAAAACATTAAAAACATTAAAAACACAGAGGCTCCAGAATCCGAGACTTGAGACCTGTGATTTTGGAATTAAAAACATTAAAAACAATATATAATCCCCCTGAAAGGCTTGTGTTTTTAATGTTTTTAATTGATTTAAACACATTAAAAGCATTAAAAACACAAGCCTTTGTGGGGATTAATGTTTTTAATGTTTTTAAAGCAATTAGAAACATTAAAAACATTAAAAACACAAGCCTCTTGGGGGATTCATGTTTTTAATGTTTTTAATTCCAAAATCACAGGTCTCAAGTCTCGGATTCTGGAGCCTCTGTGTTTTTAATGTTTTTAATGTTTTTAATGTTTTGAAATCAATTAAAAACATTAAAAACATTAATCCCCCGAAAGGCTTGTGTTTTTAATGTTTTTAATGTTTTTAATTAATTTAAAAGCATTAAAAGCAATAAAAACACAGAGGCTCCAGAGTCCGAGACTTGAGACCTGTGATTTTTGAATTAAAAACATTAAAAACATTAATCCCCCAAGAGGCTTGTGTTTTTAATGGTTTTAATTGATTTAAAAACATTAAAAACATTAAAAACACAAGCCTTTCGGGGGATTAATGTTTTTAAATCATTTAAAAACTTTGAAGCGTTAACAAGGCTAAAAACATTAAAACTAGTCCGAACAAAATAGTACCTAAAGGTCTATCACACATATATATATATGTATATATATATATATGGAGAGATAAAAGCCATGTTCCAAACCACCAACCATTTGTATGTTCCAAAGACACTACTGCATACTACTGCATACTACTACACCACTTAGGACCAGAGACTGATTCAGACTGATTCCATACTCTTTGTGCGGGATAACTTCTAGTCTGAGGTCTTTGCAAGCCGAGAATTTACAACGCACCATCTGGAGTTATCCAATTTCCTCTGTCCCCAACTGTTCCTGTTGTGGCAATGGTATCCCTTGCAGGTGACCGATTTGATTTGTGAAAACGTGACGCGACAATGAACAAACCGACCAGTTGGACAACATTGTTTTGCAGTCTTGCGACTCCCTTAACTTTAAGACATGCTTTGCATCATGACCATTCTTAAATATCTTAAATGGCAAAAGACCAAAAGGGGGTTAGCATGTGGAAACTATATTTAAAAAATACCGCTGGTATATGGTACTTGAAGAATGTTTGATCTGAGAGATACCCTGCAAAAATCTGCAAAAAGAAACTTTAATAGTCTACGTTCCCCATCGTTCCCCTTAAAAAGTGCCAAGAATAACCCAGTCCGACTTGCCATTTCCTCATCGCAGAAAAAAAAAGAAAGCTCCATGGCCCCCCTGAGACAGATGCCCTTTTTCCACTGGGGATCCCAGGATTGCACATTTAATCATATTTAATCCATATCATATTATGGATAGATAAGTAGATTTAGCTCATCCTCAACCTACATGACCACAATACAATTTGGATATGACATACCCCAGTTCCGAAGCATATCCTTCATGGACACCGGCACGGCACCTTTAGCTTTGAAGGCTTTGGCTGGCGGAGTCTCCAGAAGCAACACCTGGCTGTGAATGGTATCAGCCCCTAAAGGTTCCAAAGACCTTCTAAATCAATGGTCATTCCAGGATCCTAAAATGGAGGTACTGTACCATATAAGGCCATATTTTGTGGGTATATCCTAAAGTTCCAAACAGCTTCTAAGACTGTGGGGTTTTGCTTTTGTTGGGTCTAAATGGTCTAAACACCTTCCCAGAGGATATTTGGATGTATTTGGAGCACTAGGGCTTCTGTCAATACCGCAAAGATCTGTCCCAGTCCCAAAATCTCTTCTAAAACCCAGGAACGGCAACCGCACCGGAGACCATCAATTTTAGTGAAGAAAAGACTATGAGAAACACGATGCAACAAAGATTGGCTCTATTGGCACCATATTGAGCTATATTGGCACTCTATTGGACTATATTGGGCTATCTTGGGCAAAAAATAAAGTAAAATTGGCTATATTGGCACTATACTGGGCTCTGACCATTCTCTGACCCCATCCTCTCAAAGTTGACTCAAACCTCGCGATGTTTGAAACTGGGATTAGACACCCGATTGAAACCTAGGCGTCATCCCATCGAATGTTCTACCATGTTCAAAAAAGCCCCTTTGACCCATCAATTAGTTTTTGGTTCCACATCAAGACCGAACAAAACCCTCCAAACTAAATTTGAATAATGCGTTACATGTCTTCCAAATGTCGGTGGTTAAAACCGTTTGAAATATCAATTTTTCACCGTTCTCTAAGCGATTTGGTGCTTAGCTCACCCCCATGAGATAAACCAAAACCAACGACTGCCATATTTAGTGCTTGAACATAGTTCAATCCGCTATAATCCCAGTATTTGGTGGTTACCCTCCGAGGTAAACTAATAGTTCGATGTGGAAGTTTTCCACCATTTATTTTGATAATTTTCCGCATCAAACTAAAAAATGTTTATGTACCCCAGTTTAAATCCATCAAATAACCAAGCAACAGTTTCGGCATTTCAATGGCTCAACAGTTGGATCTTTCGATCTTTCCTGCCTGCTGCCGACCCTCCACTTGCCACAGCAGCGATCCATCACTGCCCTGCACGGCTGCATCATTTGGCAAGTCGTGAGAATTGCCAGAAGGTAACCCATACTCTATACCGTCTATACCCCGAGAGGAACAAAGCTAGAAATGGCAAATCCAGATTTTTCACTACGTTTGCAATAATACATGGGATAATTATACCTACTGTTTTCACTGTTGCTATGAGTGATGGAATTTCAAGCACACCAGGCTAGATTACCAAAGGATACCAATCCCATACCTCACCGTTGATAATTGAAAAAAACAACACCGTGTCACCTGAACATATTAATATATCAAAATCAAACCATTATCAAACCTGAAAAATATCATACTACGCCAGTGCACCAATATATATATATATAATATTATAATATACATAATGCAACATATCACGGTACAACATCAATATGTTTCACTTTTCTTCCATATATTTTGAGTTTGTCACGGCGTGTCAAAAAGTTAAGGGCAAATCAAAATGTTGATGGTTGATCATTATTTTTTCCCACCAAAAGTTGACATTTTTTTGGTTTCTCCTTTGTTCCGCCCATTGTGACAAAACCATTTGTAGGGCAGATTGGGAAAAAACTGGAGAAAAGTGTGGGAACCTGGGAAAACTGAATAGATCATCTTAAACACCCATATTGGGTATCAAATCATAGAAACATCCCATGAAATTGCTAATAGATAGCTGTAAAATCCCATTAAATAGCGCTATTAAATCCCATTAAATAGCTATTAAATCCCATTAAATAGCTATTAAATCCCATTAAATAGCTATTAAATCCCATTAAATAGCTATTAAATCCCATTAAATAGCTATTAAATCCCATTGAATAGCTATTAAATCCCATTAAATAGCTATTAAATCCCATTAAATAGCTATTAAATCCCATTAAATAGCTATTAAATCCCATTAAATAGCTATTAAATCCCATTAAATAGCTATTAAATCCCATTAAATAGCTATTAAATCCCATTAAATAGCTATTGAATCCCATTAAATAGCTGTTAAATCCCATTGAATAAGCCATTTGTTTGACGTCATCTGCCATCCTCACCTCAGCTTGGTGCAGCCGTAGCTCCGCATTGGGCGGCGAAATGCGACACGACCAGGCGGCGAAAGTCTCGTCCGAAAGCAGCGGGGCCTGGGCGAGGCGGCTGGAGCGTAGCGTTGAATATACGGAAAATCACCATGTTTTAATGGGAAAAGTATGGAAAATCACCATGTTTAATAGGAAAATCACCATTTTTGATGGGTAAGCTACGGAAATTCACAATGTTTTAATGGGAAAAGTATGGAAAATCACCAAAATCACAATTTTTAATAGGAAAACTATGGACAATCACCATTTTTAATGGGAAAAGTATGGAAAATCACAATTTTTAATGGGAAAACTATGGAAAATCACCATGTTTAATGGGAAAACTATGGAACATGGCAATTTTTAATGGGAAAATCAACTATTTCTATGGCCATTTTCAATAGCTCTGTAACAAATTCCCCAGAGGGTAGTTACTAGTTGGGACATGATTATCTTTGGGAATACTCATTTCCCAATTCCCACGTATATTCAACGCTACGCTCCATGAATTGGATAATCATAGTGGATAATTAATCATATTGGGAATATTGTAACAGGATATCCTATGACTATCCACTGGGAAATGATGATCCAATTCCATCCAATTCCCATATTGGAATGATCCCAATAGGATGTCGATTCATGATTCATTGGCAATTGGGGAAAGTAGATTTAACACATTGTAATAATATAGCCTTGTAAAAAAATGGGATGCTGATGGATATTGATGAATATTCTTCCAAGCTATTACTGGTAATTACTCATGATACTAGAAATCATGTTTATGGGAGATTGATAGCGACAAATCTATACATATCTTAGTATGCAAATCAACTGATTTTCCCCTTTGTACTAGTATGTGGTGTATGACATGTTCCTCCATCAGAAATGCTGGACACAAAGCTGAGTCAAACCACCAAACCAAGCTGAGTCTTTCGCCCGCGAGTCAATTGACTGATCATTTTCGGTTGTTCAAACAAAGCTATGTTCACAAAGATGGTTGTTCAAACAAAGCTATGTTCACAAAGATGGTTGTGCAAACAAAGCTATGTTCACAAAGATGGTTGTTCAAACAAAGCTATGTTCACAAAGATGGTTGTTCAAACAAAGCTATGTTCACAAAGATGGTTGTTCAAACAAAGCTATGTTCACAAAGATGGTTGTTCAAACAAAGCTATGTTCACAAAAATGGTTATTCAAACAAAGCTATGTTCACAAAAATGGTTGTTCAAACAAAGCTATGTTCACAAAGATGGTTGTTCAAACAAAGCTATGTTCACAAAGATGGTTGTACAAACAAAGCTATGTTCACAAAGATGGTTGTTCAAACAAAGCTATGTTCACAAAAATGGTTGTTCAAACAAAGCTATGTTCACAAAGATGGTTGTTCAAACAAAGCTATGTTCACAAAAATGGTTGTTCAAACAAAGCTATGTTCACAAAGATGGTTGTTCAAACAAAGCTATGTTCACAAAAATGGTTGTTCAAACAAAACTATGTTCACAAAGATGGTTGTTCAAACAAAGCTATGTTCACAAAGATGGTTGTTCAAACAAAGCTATGTTCACACATATGTTTGTTCAAACAAAGCTATGTTCACAAAAATGGTTGTTCAAACAAAGCTATGTTCACAAAAATGTTTGTTCAAACAAAGCTATCTCCACAAAGATGGTTGTTCAAACAAAGCTATGTTCACAAAGATGGTTGTTCAAACAAAGCTATGTTCACAAAAATGGTTGTTCAAACAAAGCTATGTTCACAAAGATGGTTGTTCAAACAAAGCTATGTTCACAAAGATGGTTGTTCAAACAAAGCTATGTTCACACAAATGGTTGTTCAAACAAAGCTATGTTCACAAAGATGGTTGTTCAAACAAAGCTATGTTCACAAAGATGGTTGTTCAAACAAAGCTATGTTCACACATATGTTTGTTCAAACAAAGCTATGTTCACAAAAATGGTTGTTCAAACAAAGCTATGTTCACAAAAATGTTTGTTCAAACAAAGCTATCTTCACAAAGCTGTTCAAACAAAGCTATGTTCACAAAAATGGTTGTTCAAACAAAGCTATGTTCACAAAGATGGTTGTTCAAACAAAGCTACCGTATCTTTCGCCAATTGATTGATCATTGATCCTTCTTTGAACAACCATCACATGCTAATGTGAAAAAAGAAAAACAGGCCGACGCTTCGTCTACAGTCTACTTGCAGGTTTCACGATTAATACATACAAGATCATACAAGTACCATCTGGTTATTTAACATAGCCATGGAAAATCCCTTATAAATGGAGGTTTATAGCTGGGAAAATCATCTATTTCTATGGGCCATCTATACCATGGCTATGTTAGTCATAACTAGATCATACAAGTAAATTTCAGAAAGCCCCAAGAAGGGAACTAACATTGTTGTATATACCCTCTGGTAATTTAACATAGCGAACTGGAAAATCACCATGCTATTAATGGGAAAATTCACTATTTCTATGGCCATTTTCAATAGCAAACTGTTAGTTTACCATTTCTGAGGATGTCTGAGGTCCCCATATCCTCCCATTAGAAAAATCATGGCTAGTGGCTAGTGGCTTATGTCCATTGCTGGTGGCAAATCCCCATGTATATTTATATATATATATGTATAACATTGTATAACCTTGACTTGATGATCGAATTGACATCCCCTAAAACCTATATAACCTATATATCGCCATGATCCCTGATGGTATACCCTAGTGTAATCCCCAAAAAAATAGCCTAAAAGTTACGTGTTTTCAGGATGGTGGTTCGATGATATTTATTTACCTCATATTTCCAGGTGTCCAAGGTATTTTCAATATGCCTTGAGGTTGCTATGGTCAGCGACCTTCCCACAGCCAGTTGGGTCCAGCCACCAGAGCTGATGGAAGTTTGGGCGTGGGCACCTTCACGATGGGAGCCCCAAGATAGGTAAGCTGGTTGAGAACTAAACTGATTTATATCTATAGCTTATGGCAGTTACGCTAGTTATACCGTGGTTTGTGGTTGATAGCCAAGAAAGTTGGTAAGAGTTTTTTTTAGTGTTTGCTAGTTATAACATGTTTGAACTATAGATGGATGAAACAAACTACCACTTTATAACTTTATAGCGCACCCTAAAACAATCTAAAACTGTGGGGGATGTGCTGTTTGGCTGTTTTTTTATATTGTAAACAACCCATCCAATGAAGGCTGGAGAATCTGGCGTGGCGCCCAACACCTAGGCATGATCTTGCCTTATCACATGCCTTGGTATGCTGACTCAACCTTTCTTACACAACCTGGCCATAAAGAAAATGACAAAGTTAAAGCTAGGCAATCTACAAATCAAACGGAGTATAATTAAAGAGGTGACTCTTTTGAAGAAAATGAAGTATTTCAAACCCCAAATAGATCAATCAACATCCAACAGCTTATCTTCTTGCTTTGTTCCTGATGCTTTTCAGAATTCCAACTTGTGTACACATATTGGGATTCCTACAACTGCTACTTTGGTGTCATTCAAACTGAAGTTAGGATCTGCAAGCTGCAACAAAATGCCGTCAACATACCACCACGTTACATCGAATTGTGCATCCCCAGTTTTGATGCTTCAATCGTGATCTTTCAAAGGTAAAAATGGTCAAAAACACACTACCCAATGGACCCAATTCTTCATAGTCCATGTTTCATAGTAAATTCGTCATAGTCCCCAATTGTTAGAGCCATCTCCAATCCTTCATCACATCATTCTAAAGTGAAATTCTTCATAACATCATAACATCATTTAGGATCCTTCACACTTCATAGTGAAATCCTAAAATTCTACCCTCTGGTAATTTAATGTAGCTATTGAAAATGGCCATTAATAGTGGATTTTCCCATTAAAAATGGTGATTTTCCATAGCTATGTTAGTTTACCACAGTGTAAAGTCATGTCATCCAGCAGTTTTTCGTCATCCCCAATGGTCGCCTGCGCCTTGGCACCATCGCCCCAGGGCCTGCTGGGAGACTCTAAGGTATCTGGAGGTGAGTCTCAACAAACACGCCCGTTTTTTACATGGGGGTTATCATGGGTTACCCTCCAGTAAATTAACATAGACCCTGGCAGATAGAGGTTGGAAGATTTGTTTCCATTAAAAAGTGGTTGTTTTCAGGGTCAACAAGTTAATTTACCAGAGGGTATCACCAAAACATGGATGAATTTGGTGCTTTGAATATTGAATGATCCTGGGTGATGATGGTTATGTATCCAGCCAAGACGTGGTGATCATTGTTGATAAACATCCGGATGAATTTGGTGGTTTACCACGTTGATCCTTTTTTTAACAAAAAAGGGGGTTCAAAACACCATTCTGGTGGTGATATCAGCAATCAAGCGGTAGTACATGATGAATAAACATGGTTCAAAAGTCTCCAACTCATGGGCAGTGCCAGCAAACCTTTAGAAATCATTTCAAAACCTACAGGATGCTCCAAAATGCCATTCTCGGATTGTGGATTAAATTGAAGCAGTTCGAAACGGGCCCCATTTAACTATCAACCAAAAGCGGTTTTGTGAAACGCTCACTTGGGCTTACAACCCAAGTATAAGGTTTCTAATCAAAAAACAAACACCACAAATATCAGTAAACTGGGAAGCAAACCACCACGTTTTTATTTTTTACTTTACACTCAGTGTTGGGAAATGGCTCAAATACCTGACATGGTTTCTGCATCGTTTCTGGTCATTCTGAGGGATTTTTATCATGGGCATGGATGGTGCATTTGGTCCATGCATTTTGCGCCTCCAGAATCCCTGCCAACATCGATCAAGGCTCATGCTTTGCAGAGCACTGTGCATTGCTGGAGGGTAGCCGACCTGAGGGGATGGATGGATCATGAGTTGATAAACCAGGAGAGGAAACATTCCGGGAAACGCCGAAACGAGTGAACACCGTGTGTTCACACCGAAAGAGTTAGTTATGAATTCCATGAAAAATCACATTCAGTTCCTTTAAATCCCATTAAGTCCCATTAAATAGCTGTTAAATCCCTATTAAAATAACCATTCATATCCCATTGTGTTGGTAAATCCCTTCTGGTTCGTTGATGCCGGAGCTGCACAAAACCGCACTCGTCCAACTCGCCAGCTCGCCAAGCGACCGCATAGCGCGCGGCTTCCCAGAGACGCGCTTGGCACTTGCGTCCGAAGGGTCTGGTCGCGGGCCTCGGAAACTCGGAAATCTCATTGAATTATCTATGGAATCTATGGTAAAGTATAGTTAGTTGGTTTATTTTCCATGGAAGAGTACATTTTATGATTTTTATGATTAGTTGGTTTAATACATTTTATGGTTTATAGTTGGTATATCACTATGGTATGGTTCTATAGTACTATAGGTATAGTTCAATGTACTAGCAATCTCATTGCTATGGAATAGTACATTTTATGGGTATAGGTTTAGTACTATGATCTAGTTAGATAGTCATAGAATACATCACTATGGAATAGTTCGAAAAAATATGTCGGAGATTCAAGTACCTAAAGTGGAGGGACTGTATCAGATATAGCCTATAGCCATAGAAATTGGTAGCATATATCCCCTGAAAATATGGTGAGTACCTCCAATTTTGGTACCTGAAATTGGCCATTGATCTAATGATAGGTTAGGTAGGACACCAAAAGTGAAGATAGACAGGGGAAAATGGGTATGTGACCAACAAACATGAGAATTCAACTAAGAACTGGGATTAAACCCACAAACAATCAAGCATGGAGATTTACACTCAAATTGTGACATGTGAGTTGGTTTATAGGCTAGCTGGGGTTTATTTAAGGGATATATACACATCTAGTCTACATTTGGACGGGTTTGTAACCCAACTTATAGCTAGGGGGTCCCGCCCCCCTGCCTTGGTGATCAATGTGAATTCTATGTTTTTTTGTTGCGTTAATTGTAACTGCATATAACTGGATTATAAACTATCTGAATGTGTAAACATACAATCTAAAACGAACCAACTGATTCTCCTTGTTATTTATGATGTATAATGAGGTCCAGCCAGTGTCGTCGCTATGATGAACCCATATGTTCACCATCAATAAACTGATGCAATATCGCTAGACTGGCCTGTACTGTTGCCTCAGCACCAAGGCGCTGCACCTGCTGTTTGAAGATACACAAAACATCTAAACACAATATTAACGACGTAGCCGAAGATGAGGACCAAACTAAGCAGAGATCATCATAGATCAACAAGAAAAGTCAAATATCACCTGAGAAATTCCAATCTGTTGGTTTTGTCTAAGCACTTCAAAAATATCTCTATGTGATAACCCGGCAGAATCCAGCCATTTACTGATCGTAGGGATCATCCCAATTTCCTTCGCATCCAATGGCATTTCGGCATGTTTTTTTCAGATTCAGCAAGAAATCTTGGAATTTGAAATGAGGCAACAGAATTTAAGAATAGGAAGAATATGGAACAATATGGAAAAGCGGAAGGCATCAGCTATCATCTTGGGAACCTCCAACTCATGAAAAATGATGGTGTTTACCATGTTAAACCCAATCAACCATCCCATTCACAAACCATTTAAGGTGCCATGTCAAACCATCCCAAAGAAGGCTATCCCCAATCATTTTCATAGACCGCAAAAAAGGGGACGCTTCGTGGCATCGCTTCTTGGTTGATACCAGTACAATTAAAGACCAGCAATAAAAACTTCAACCAACAAAGGAGTGTTCCGATTTGTTTGATATAGTTATATAGTCATTAATCTTATCTGCTTGGTGGTTTCAACCTACCCCTCTGAAAAATATGAATCAGTTGGGATGATAAAAATCCCACCAGCCAGTTATTGGGATGATAAAAATCCCATCAACCATATATATATATATACAGTACACAGACATAGCCCCGCCCCTGCTGCCGCGTCACGGAGGGTCCGCGGCCAAAGATGGCACTTTGTCCATCATCTCGACCTGTTGAAGACCCGGTGATGGGGTATGGGAAAAGTATGGAAAAACTGTGGGAAATAACTATATAGACAACCAAAAAAAAGAGAACAAGTGGAAAAGTTGGGGAGAGTATTCTTCTAAATCCAATGCATCACCACTTTTCACTATATCTCAATGCCATTTGGGGGTATGCCTCAGACAAACCCTGAAAATTACTTTCTTTTGATGGGATGGTGAAAATGGGGATAAATCTAATGTAAAAAAACGATTGAATTCGGGATAGCAGTACATCTAGTGCGAGAATGGACTGTAAATTGATGCTAAAATCCAGAAAACTGTTGGTCGTTTCAACGAGAACAAATGAGTGAATTGGTGACCCACAATGTGATGATTTTTTCACAAAAGGAACACGGGTTAAACTTCTGGCAATGGTGCAGAAAAAAAAAAACATGATATGACGACCGGCCATATCCACCCATGATTTTTCGGGATCACCGTAACTTTCTGAGTCGTGTTTAAAAGGGCAAAACCCCGTTTTTTGGTGCTTGGACTCTTGGACTCTGGTCATGCAATAACACTTTAAGGGCTTTCTCTAATTCTACCCGATTTTTTTCAGCAAAATTGAGCAAATGTCTGAATCGTTTTTTGGGACTACACCCCTGTAGTCATCCTAACCCTTCGAACCCCTCCCAAAACAAATAGAAGCTGGTAGAAATTACACAACAGATCAAAAAACATGGTAAAACAAATCCACAAACCAGATTATAGATACATCATCCATAACATCCAAATAACATCCATCTGCAATCATCCTGCTATTTTTGGTGGATCCCAAGGATATTTTTTCAACGACTTTTGGCCTGGCAGCTTCCCAGCTCCGACTCCGACATCTTCAGCAGGGACAACTCCTTTGGCCTCGGTTGATACTGTGGATGGGCCAGCGAAATCCGAATCACCAGTTGAAAACGGTGGTAAACATCCCATGATTTATAGGGTTTCATCATGTCCATCCTTTTGGTTGGTTTGAGGGGGAAAATCAATGGATTGGTGTGAGGGAAAAACCCATGGGTTTTTACCATCAAATATAGGGGTTTCCGGTTCGGATTTTCCCATCATCCAATTCTATGATAAATGGTTGATATATTTTCTGATAAGAAACCTTGAAGATGTTGAAGCTTTGTTGATACTTGAAGATGGTTGATGAAGGTTGATACTTGGTGGGATTCCCAAAATAGATGGTTGATACTTGAAGATCTGATAAAATCTGGAAAAGGAATACGGTATATATATATATATATCAAAAACTGTAAATCTTGAAGAAATGTAGTAGAAATATGGGTGAATTTTTCCTAAAAACAAATCCGGGGATTGTTTTATCCATGGGGTGTCAAAAATTAGTAACCTGGTCTGTATATGCCTGGATGGGATAACTTGGGGTTAAATGACAGAAACTTGCTACTGGGGTAAATTGTTCAGTTGCTGAGTACTTTGAAAACTATCCTACTCCTACTTCCCCTTAACCGCAAACTAACTAAGATTGATTCCCAGACAAAAGTGATCTACAAATCTACGGGTTTTCTATGTTGATCTGTGTAAGTGGGTATATGGGGGTTTCCATAAATATGGGTACCCCAATTGCTGGATGGTTTATCATGGAAAATCCAATTGAAATGGATGATGACTGGGGGTACCCCTAGTTAGGAAACCTCTATATATAATTATCTATATATATATATAGAATTGATATCCCAACTACTTCCTAAGTGGAATGTGCTTTTCCCAGTAATGTTTTGTGGGTCCTTCTCATCCCCACCACATCCTGGGCGTCAGTCCAAACATTGGATATATATATATATATAAAGAGTGCACCTGCCCTTCCTTTTTTATACCCACTCCGCAGCAGGTTTGTTAGAAAATAAACAAAAGAGAATAACGCAACACACATCAAAAATAGAGGGGGTGTCAGGCCAAACCCAAAGCACCCCTTGCATAACCTTCCGAGCGAGGTGAGCCAAACCAAACCACCTTCACACAGTCAGGTTATTAGTTCCTCTTCGGATCATTTTGGCTTGGGTCTTTTGGACTGCTTCATTGAGGATCCTTTCTTGGATCCTTTTTTGGATCCTTTAGCACGGCTCTTAGGGGAGAAGCCAGGGGGGGAAGGGAGCTAAGAGCCAAACACTTCAGGGATAAATCAGGAAGTAAGGACACTCTTTATCCCCGGGGGCGTGGAGACAAAGAGTGCACCTGCCCTTCCTTTTTTATACCCACTCCGCAGCAGGTTTGTTAGAAAATAAACAAAAGAGAATAACGCAACACACATCAAAAATAGAGGGGGTGCCAGGCCAAACCCAAAGCACCCCTTGCATAACCTTCCGAGCGAGGTGAGCCAAACCAAACCACCTTCACACAGTCAGGTTATTAGTTCCTCTTCGGATCATTTTGGCTTGGGTCTTTTGGACTGCTTCGTTGAGGATCCTTTCTTGGATCCTTTTTTGGATCCTTTAGCACGGCTCTTTCCAAGTCCCCCTGTCCTTTCTGGAACAGAAGGCTCAAGTGTTGAAAGTGTGAGGCGCGCGCGTTGTTTGGAAAAAACAAGGAGAAAAGGGGCTAGGGAAGGGAGGGTAGTTGGGAGTGACATTTCCGCCAGTATGGAGAGTCCTTCGTTTAAGTATATACGTGCTGTCTTGGGTGCCTGCCACCGTCCCTGCAACAAAATTTTATCCAATGAGTGGTGCTTGGCAAACCACCAAGTAGCCCCTCCTCGCCGGAGGCTGTAGGGCCTAAACCCAAAGGATTGTAATTGCAAGGCCGACAAAGCGTCATTAAACAATGCTCTCCAATTACCTGGGGAAGCTGACAGTGGTGTGTGATCAGAGGCAAGCTCTTTCCACCGTTTTACGAAATTGACCACCATATCGTAACCAATCACCACCGACTCAGCAGCTCCCTGCCGTTTGCCCCCCTTCGTAAGCCCTAGTGAGACAATTAATTTAGGGTTATTTGGTTCAACTAAGATCTGAGACCCCCGAAGGTCTAGAATTTCTCCTGTCCGGAGCATCCCATAAAATCCCAGCAACAGCGACACTCCAAATGTGAACCGCTGATGAAACCAGGCCCATCCTACCATTGCGTGAACCACATGAGCAGGTAGTGGGGGTGCCCTGTTAGGGATCTCATTTTGCGACCATGTTTTCAGGAGCCTCCAGGCTCCCGTGAGCTGCCCCCGGATGCGGACGTCATAGTCCTGTAGCCCGGCGACCGTGTCACTGGCAAGGGCCCTACCCTCTCCGGAAGACCAGAGATGCTCAAGGTAGTCACAAACCAATGGATCCAGCTTGTGCGTAAGGTGGGAAGCTGAAGATTGTTGGCACGGAGAAATTCAAGAAATTTATCAATTGCTCGGTTATAGCGCTGTTTTGTAGCTGGTTGAACTGTAAGGTCCCTCAGGGTTCCAAGCCTCTGTCTCTGTTTTGCCCTGTCCTGCTGCGCAGCGGCCTCTAAGTGCCGCTTAGGCATGCCGGAATTTCGTTTTCACCCGGCGACCCCACCGACTGGGGCGATCTGCCGGGTTTTGCTCGGTGCTCACATAGCCCCACAGGGCCTGATTGGAGCTGCACAGTAACAAGGCATTAATTCGAGACAGAGTGGACCTGAGCTTCCTACTGCTGGACCGACCGCGCGAAAGTGCGTGCAGCACCACCAGCGAGTCAATCAAATGTAGAAACCGCCCTTTAATGTGCTTCTTGACCTGGATCCGCCATTTGAGTGAAGTTAAAACGGCGCGCATTTCCAGAGCGTTGATGTGCTCTGGGGAGCCTTTCCACCTCCACCCTGTGACGACTTTCCATCGCCACAGTCGCGCCGGAACTGACGCCCTGAGCCGGTGGAACTTAGTCAATTGGCTGGATGCAGTGCTGAGCAGTATATCTTCGCCCTTCACACTGACCAAGTTCCCAAGCTTCTCAACCAGCTTTTGCCCTCCCGCATCCGCCTGCCCACGCAGGGGTCGAAGAGGTGCACGCCATAACCGATTTTGCAAAAACGTTTGGTTCTCTGTGTTCAGGAAATTTAATCCATAATCTCTTGAGGGGTGTATGCTGGGCGCAATCCCAAGGGCCCGCACAATTGCGCCAATAACCAAGCAACCACAGGTACACTCCATGTGTTCCCGAGCAATGATTGCCGCGCATCTTGATGTGCCACGGATCCACGTCCCTGCTTGGCCCAGCAACTCACTGTGTACCCTACAGGGAAACCCAGCATATACTCCTTCTCATCATGACGTCATGCTTGTTGATCAAGAGATTTTTTGCGGTGTACTGGTAGGGCGGGAAGCGATAGGAGTCTTGCTTCCACCGCTCCACGTCGGCCTGGGTGCAGGAATGCAAGCCAGCGGGCTTGTGCCCAGGCCGCGGGCGTGGCCTGGAGGTTGTAAAAGTTGGAAAAGGGCGTGACGGGTCAACTTTGATCCAGCCCTCCTGACAGACCTGCTCCAGGTCCTGAAAGGCTGTGAGGACGACCTCCCGCGGGGTCACGTCGCTCCCAGCAACGAATTGAACCCCCTCCTGAGCCAAGAGCTCCCAACTGAGCCAATAAAGCCGGGGCCGACTTGTCCAGGTCATGGAACCTGCGTCGCACTTCCATGGCTCTTCGCCAAAATCTTGTGACATGATCTGACGGTCATGCTCATCCATGGAAGCGACGCTTTCCATGAAGCAATGGGCCTGACACCACGGAAAAGATTTCTTTGCCAGCTTCCAGATACGCTTGACGTGGGAAAACAAGCATGACCGTTCGTCACGAAGGGCTCCCTTCCTACCAGCGTTTAACCCGCTGACACCCTGACAGGGCGGTCCTGCCCCGAGAATGACTAGGGCTGCCTGCGAAAATTCGCGCGCCCATTGATTCACTACCTCCTCGTCCACCACCGTCACGTCGTCGAAGTGCCAGGCCTCAGGGAAGTGAGAGCTCACCACCCGCTGGGCCAGTTTCTCCTTCTCAACGCTGACGTGGCCCATGACCTCCAGACCAAGCAAGTCCGCCGCCACCCGTAGCGCGCCAATGCCATCGAAAAGCCCTATTGTAAGGACACGATGCTCTTGGCGCAACTCTGGCAGCTGTCCTCGAAGCCTCCCCTGCGCAGCCAGGCATCCTGCCCGACTCAACGCCACAGAGGTGCAAACCCCGCCCCCGGAAGTCGAGGCATCACTGCATGTAACTTGCTCACTGTACTCGAGCCGAAAGTCCAAGCGAGCCAGCGGGATCAGTGCCACAAACCTCACCAACTCAAGCTTGCATTGAGTCGGCAGCGCCTGCACCGAAACCCCTAGCCGGTCAAACGACTCAATAAACGGCCATATGGCATTGAGGCACCCCAACAACTGCCGCCTGAACATGGCCATGTAGACCAGGCCCACACAGACCACTTGAGTCTGACGCTGAGTCACTACCGGCTGGTGCAACAAGGTGAGCGTAGCGGCCAGGTATTTGAGAAGCTTACTCTCCCGCGGGAAAGCCACCCCCAAGTTACCATCGACCTGTGCCCCTTGGACCTCAGCGACCGGTTGTCTCTGGACCGATTTCTTCAGGTTGCGCGGCACCTCCCATTTCTCGTACTCTTGACGCAGCGCCAAAGCTGCGGGTGCAAGAGACCCTTCCCTGAGTCTCCTAAAATAGTAAAATTTAGGTCGGCAAAAATTTACGTAAATTTTTGGATTTAGGTCGAAAAATTTACGTAAATTTTTACTTATCTTAGTAAATATTTACTATTGAAAAAAATTAGGTTGCTACCTAAATTGATTTAGGTTGCAACCTAAATTGATTTAGGTTGCAACCTAAATTTTTGGTCATGTTTTTCACATATAAAAATTCATACTTTTTGATATATTTTTTTTATTTTTGAAGTTTTTGCTGTTGGTTTTCTTAACATTTTGAATGGCGTGTCCTGTTGACATTGTTCAA